CGACTAGGTGTGTAGTAACGGTCTAAAGTGTAGCAACTGAGTAGGAGGCCATTTCTGCTGTGTCAAAAAAAAAGACAGTCGGTATTATAGCAATACGTCTGATAGTGAAAATGTACATAGATTCTATAATTGTATTACGAAAAAGTTTGTTTTCAGACATTTTGCGCGTAGCATATAGCCTGTGCGCATTTTTGAAAATGTCAATAAATTTAGCCGGACTGTATCATAGCAATACGGATAATTATTTTTTTTAACTTTTCGTATTGCTGCCATGTNTTCACATTTCCGTCTGAAAATTGTTTTGTTCGCATCAAATAACCAAAATTTACTAATAAAAAAGATTTTCGTATTGCTATGAGACATTTTTTTTGTCTCATTTTTAATTTTTTTAAGTGATTTTACGGGTTTGCGCTACACCACTAACGTCTGAAAATAATGTTTCCGGTATCTCAGAACTATCATTCAACTACAGTCTGCAAATCAGACATATTGCTATGATGCAGTTCGGTAAAATTCTTTGACAATTTTGAAAATTCGGTCAGATCAAACGCTACGCGGAAAATGTCTGATATTGGTATTTTCGAGTTCAGGATAATCGTATCTATCGATTTGATGCGGTTTTGGCCGTATTGCTATGAGACAAAAATTTTGGTCGTGGGCTCTCGTACTATTGGTTTTTCCACTAAACTGACGTAATTATTAATAGGTCTAGACTGTCTAGAGCTTAATAGGCTAGTTTCCTAAAAAAATTTTTTTAGTCCGTCAATTTTAATAAAAAAAAATATTGGACACATATATTTTTAATTGTCAATCAAACAAATAATTACAACGTTATAGTGCATTGAAGTTCCGCGCGACGTCATAAAGTGCTGCACTTTTACGCACTCACTGACGTCACGGGCCTTTTCTTTAGAACTTTGGCACGCTTTATCTCTTTACATTTTCATTAGTTTTAAAAAGTGAAAAATACGTGTCGAGTAGTTTTTGTTAAGCTAACTGACGGATTAATTAAAACTCTTGCTTTTTTACCCAGGAAACATCCCTATTCAGTCAGTGCCTGAGATATGGGAGCGGCACGAGGGTGTTTTTGAAACGTCCAAATTCAGCAGTTTCAGATTTCTTTCAGATTGGTTGGCTCTGTCACGTCATAAAATATGTCAAAGTCACGCCTCCCCTTGCCGCTGTTGACTTAGAAGCACTGGACCTATAGTAGTAGAACCATCTTCGTCAGACCCAGAGTAGTCTATTATTCCTATCCTATCCTACTAATATTATAAATGCGAAAGTAACTCTGTCTGTCCGTCTGTCTGTCTGTCTGTCTTGCTTTCACGCCTAAACCACTGAAGCGATTTTGATGAAATTTAGCATAGATAGAGATAGTTTGAGTCCTGGGAAAGGACATAGGTTTTTATCCCGGTTTTAGAAACAGGGACGCGCGCGTTAAAGTTTTTCTGTGAGAGACAAAATTCCACGCGGGCAAAGCCGCGGGCGGAAAGCTAGTGAATTATAAATACTAATGACAGGTTTATTTGACTTTAAAATAAATCCTTTAATATAATAAATTGTTATTTTATTCATTTGATCAGGTAGACTTCCTTATGGAAGTCAAGTTGTGTATGAAATTGTAAATAATAATAATAATATGTTTGACGTTACATTGATTTATAGATTCAATTTAATTATGCCATCTATTATTTTATTTATTTAGGCCCAATTCGACCAAACTTCTATCCGAGAATAACTCCTGGTATAACTGGTATAACTGGCACATTGACAGTTTCAGTATGGGAAATATTATGTCAAAATACAAGTTTATTCTGAAAATTAAATTAATATTTACTTTTGTTTGGTCGAATTAACCCTTAATGATATTTCGGATAAAAACAAAGGGAGGTCATTGTTAGAGAGGAAGTTAAGATTGTTATTTTTCTACGATATCTTAGTCTTTCCTGCTACCTATATGATGTCGTCGGTCCACCTTGTGGTGTGGGTGATCGTCTCACGCTGCGTTTTCCGGTACGCAGCCTCCACTCCAGAACCTTGCTGCAGGGTCGGACTGGGCCGGAAGGGCCCGGGTGGCTGAAAGCAATCCCGAGGCCCGAGACTAGATCATGGTGATGGGATACTATCGAAAAATACTGAGATACACAAATTGAGATAAACAAACTGTAAAAAATTTATTACAATACTAAAATAAAGTAAAATAATAAGTAGGTATTTACTAATAACAAATAATAATATAAAGCTAGCCAATCAACATTTTTTTTAAAACAGGAGAACTTTCAGCTAAGCTGTTAATGACTTCGTAATCCTTGATTAGATCCGATTCTGTATTTAATACAGTGTGAGTTACGATAAAGTGCACATATGAAATTAGGTGAAACTAGATCTATTTTTATCGACAAAAAACAGGTCAAAAATTTTTTGAGATATTATAAAAAAAAATAAGCATTTTTTTTCTTCCAATTACTTATTGTAAAGAAAACGTAATAACTTTTAAACTAAGAGGTATATCCTGTAAAAACAGTAATAATGCTAAATAACAGACAGATCCGATTCTGTATTTAATACAGTGTGAGTTACGATAAAGTGCACATATGAAATTAGGTGAAACTAGATCTATTTTTATCGACAAAAAACAGGTCAAAATTTTTTTGAGATATTTTAAAAAAAAATAAGCATTTTTTTTCTTCCAATTACTTATTGTAAAGAAAACGTAATAACTTTTAAACTAAGAGGTATATCCTGTAAAAACAGTAATAATGCTAAATAACAGACGATACTAAAAAAATACATAAAATACTCAGAAAATGCCAACAAATAATAAAAAATGATACTTTTTGAAAAAAATCTGCTTTTAAATTCGTGTATTATTAGTTATTTGATAAATTTCTCCAAAAAAAGCCCCTATAACAGGTGGTTTTTATTACTTTGCATTATTCTCTATCGTATTACCTTTGTAAAACCAAAAATCGCATGTCTCTATCCCTATCACAACATTTGCTATGATCGTTTGAACTAAGCCTCTCCGGGCGCGCCATTCAACGCTTCGTTAACAACGAAACTGAAAAGCTCTAGATTTGTAATTTTGATTTATCAAAACAAGAGTTAGATTTCAAATAAAAACCAAAGATTTCGAAGTAAAATAAGCATTTTAGTTAAAATTAAAATTGTCCCTACCTGTAGCGGAGAATAATGTTGTGGTAGGCCCTTTGTTCAAACTATCATAGAAAATGTTGTGATCCCTATCACGAGACATGCGATTTTTGGTTTTACAAAGGTAATACGATAGAGAATAATACAAAGCAATAAAAACCACCTGTTATAGGGGAATTTTTTGGAGAAAACCAAAAAAACACGAATTTATAAGCAGATTTTTTTCAAAAAGTATCATTTTTTATTATTTGTTGGCATTTTTTTCCGGCAATTTTCCGAGTATTGCATTTATTAGAGAACGCAATTTTATTTTTGGGATATGTGTGGGTCAATGTGGTCAATAGAAGCTTAACCTCAAGTTTTTGGGGTCGCCACCCTTGTCCCCCAACCGCCATCTTGAAAAAAGGGGTGAAAACACTTTTTTAAGCGTCTTACAAAAATTCGCTGTGTCATAATTTGTAGCAAATTGTTTTGCCTACAAATATGTTTACACAGGCCCCTCTTTCCCACTGGGTACTTTGGGCACGTGCCCAGGGCCCCACGACGGAAGGGGCCCCCGTCTGCTCAAAAGACCTTTTTCCAGATGATAAGACCCCCCTTGATCCTTAAGTGCCCAGGGCCCCTAGTAAGTTCTCTTTCAAGTTCACTAACATAATTATTATTACTCGACGGGATTATTACTGATGGAAGAAACATATTCCATAAACAACAACCACTCACCGATCACAGCGGGCATCAGCTCGTGATACACGATGTGCTGGTAACTACATAGCAATGTTCACGTCCCTGGCGACCTGGTAAAGCTTGTCGTCGCCCCAGCAAGGGTTGAGCTCGTGCAGCTTGTCGGCCAAGTAATTGTGGTTGCGGAACAGCCAGAAGATCAGGTTGACCTGATCTCAACATCAATGCCGTGGAGAGCGTTGCGCTTAGCTAAATTATGTTTTTGTGACGAGTGGTTTCCCCACAATAGTCCAGCGGCGGCGGGGTTCAAACCAGTGTTCCTTGGATCCCGAGTCGGCCAGTCTGACATCTTCACCGTTCGGTATTGTAGCTTTGTTCTATAGTTCAGGATTCTATGTGAGTATCTACTGCTTGCCTGCCAAAAATCCAACCAATGAAGGCCAGGGCATCATGAAAGAAACATAAATGGTCAAAGCCCTCTTTCCCAATGGGCACTTTAGGCACGTGCTCAGGGCCCCGCGACGGAGGGGGCCCCCGTCTGTCCGTCTCAAAATACCTTCTTCTAGATGACAAGGGCCCCCTTGATCCGTAAGTGCCCAGGGCCCCTAGTAGGTTAAAGACGGCCCTGTGTTTACATAACTTTTTGTCCTAAATTAAATTGGAGAAGTTATACATAAGCAAAAAGGATTTTATTTTGCTTATAACTTCTTCAATCTTTAATTTAAGGCAAAAAGTTATATTAACATATTTGTAGGCAAAGAAATTTTCTACAAATTATGACTGTACAATTTTTTTGTACGACGCATAGTTTCCGAGACATGCACGCGGGCAACCGTAGCACAGGGGGCCCGCGCAGCGTGGCCGCATGCCCCGCAACCCAGGCCGTGGGGGGCCCGCGCAGGCTGGGGCCCGGCTGGCAAATGCCACCCCGACTGTATGGCCAGTCCGACGCTGCCTTGCTGCCCCATCGGCCGTCAGTTCTGCGTACTATATGCCCTGCCCATTGCCACTTCAATTTGCTAATCCGTCGGGCTGTGTCAGCGACTTTAGTTCGTTTACCTTTAACATTGTGTAAGAAATAGAAAGAATTCCTTGTAGGATAGGACAGTAGGACAGGATGTAAAGAACTTCAAATACTTTATTTCTTTCTTTATTCCCAACAGATAACAATATGACTACCAAGTATCCAATCCGTCCGCTATTCGGGTCTCATTCGGACACGTCTGCTATAAACATAAAGAGTATGGTAAGATGTGACCTTGGTTTGAAATAACTTAACAAGGCTTTGCATCTATTTTTGGAATGTTTACTAATTGCATTTGATTATTAACATTAATATGGTTTACTAGCGGCCGCCCGCGACTTCGTACGCGTAGATCCCGTTTTACCCCCTTAGGGGCCCGGTTCCGTGGGAATTTCGGGAATTCCTTTCTTAGTGCACCTCTACGGTACCTAAGCTACGTCCCTTCCAAATTTCAAGCGCCTACGTTTATCCGTTTAGGCTGTGCGTTGATATGTCAGTCAGTCAGTATTATTATTCCATAATTTCGATAGACCAGCGATAATTTTATCCGTACCTCTGGCGCGAAAAAATTGTCTTCGAATCTTTTCTTTTCTACGATACCTAGCCTTCGAATTCAACGACAAAGCTCATAGCAGAACTTACCAACTCGGAAAGGGATCAACACCGTATCGCCTTTCGCGAGCTGTCATCGGCTTGCGCGCGCTGTCAACCGCGAGGCGAGGCGTTTACGTTACGGTGCGGATAAGTGTACGTTGCAGTATGGAGTTTCATACAAAGAATACTGACCGCCTCGAGTTCATACGGTTACGATCCCTTTCCGGATTGAGTTTCAGTAACTCCGTACTGCAACGCACACTTTAATCTTTCGATGGCGATTCGAATACGCAAACGGTTCGATGTCGAAAGTTTTCGTGATGGAATCTTCCTAATGTCGATAGAACGCCAATTGATTAAAAAACCGGAACTATTAATTTGGTCCAAACAAGAACGATCTTTGATACCTACTCGATTCAAAGTCCAAATATTTAGATTTAATCACAGTTTCTAGAAAATGACCACTGCCACTCTTGACACTCTTGTGGATGTCGTAAAGGCGACTAAGGGACAAACATGCGAGCATCAGGCCTCCCCAACCCGTCTGGCCAGCGTGGGGAGTGTAGGACAAATCCTCCATTTGCCTCTGGTCAATTAGAGCCGTGCTCCTGCAGTGGAGACTAAATGACCCGATGATTTACAGATTTAACACTATTCTTGATTAATAACCTTTTTCTATGAATTTTGTTTTATTTTCTCTTCAAACATGTGTGCAACTTTACTCCTTATAATTTTCTAAAGCCCGGTCTCCGAGCACGTAGAGTTTTGTCCAATGAACCCAAGCTACCTATCCTTATCGCTCGCGCGTAATTATGTTGCTGTCGCGCTCGCACACTCACTGCGGCCGCCCGTCGAACAGTCGCTACAGCAATATAATTACGCGCGAGCGTTGGGGTCATTGGACGAAATTCTACGTGCTCGGCGACCAAACTATAACTTTCGTTACTTTCACACTTAGCATGAGTTGGCATGAAATTATTTTCATGAAAGTCTTTATTATTGTTTATTTTTGGAATAACATGAGCTTTCAGTTAATTGCAACAATTTTGGTTATCTATTAAGTTTTAAGTAACCATCTGTTTTTGTAGTGAATAAGATGTTAAGGTAATAAGGGATAAACTATTCCCACCTCTCGTTCCCACCACTGCAACTCCTGTTTAGCGAGGATCTACAGCTTGACCGCCATAAAAACCCAACCAATGAAGGTCAAGTTTATCCCGGGGGAAAGTTTAACTGTCCGCAATGAAATTAATCAGAAGAACATAGGAGGAGTTCGAAATTAGGGTTCGCCTTCCCTCCATTGCAAAGCGGATGACAGGTGACAAACAAAGGTGTAATGACCTTTAAGAAAAGATGTGCCCCACGGACAATAAATATCAAATAAGGGGGCCTTAGGTGATAAAGGATGCCTTAAGTGGCGACTAAGGGACAAATATGCGAACATCAGGCCTCCCCAACCCGTCTGGCCAGCGTGGGGAGTGTAGGACAAATCCTCCATTTGCCTCTGGTCAATTAGAGACGTGCTCCTGCAGTGGAGACTAAATGACCTGATGATGATGATTCAATAAGAAGCTTCAAGTGGTGTGTGAATTAACCTATATTAAGGGATTGAGGGAGGCCTATGTTCAGCAGTGGACATCCTGCGGCTGAATGATGATGATGATGATTTAATATTAAACTTACTTTTTCTTCCCCAAGTCGTATTTTTCCTCGAAACTGCCATCAGTAGTCTTTAAATGCATTTCTAGTTCAGCTCTAGTTTTCATCATCATCATTTCAGCCACAGGACGTCCACTGCTGAACAGTGAACATAGGCCTCCCCCAATGACTTCCACATCGCACGGTTGGTAGCGGCCTGCGTCCAGCGCCTTCCTGCTAGCTTTATCAGGTCGTCGGTCCACCTTGTGGTGCTCATGTTTTGGTAAAAACAAAACCCTTAATATTGCTACATTTGTTTATCTACTAAATTGACTTCAACATCGTCAATATACTGCATGAAGGTCAATTTGTTCCGTAACATATGAATCTAACGCACATTACTGTGATTGTTGTTGACCATATTGACTAAATAATCAACTCCCGCGCATCGTTGGCTTGCGCTGAACACATGTTTTGATTGCGCCTTATTAGGGCTGTCACTTGTAGGACCGTTTGGAAATGTCACTTTGACGTTTATAATGTCAATTTTGTAAAGGTGAGTAATGAGTATAGACTCGAGCAATCCTATGTAATGTGAAGTTCTTACGAATGGTACAATACTTAATTGACTCGTGACTGATGATAATACATTTGATAGAGCGGCTCGTTGTACTGTTACAAGTAAATGCTCATCTTAAGTTAAGGCGTCTTGAGAACTGCTTACGGGAATCCATGAAAAACAATCTAACTATAAGATAGCTGAAGATGACCTTCTACTAATAAAGCAGAATATAAAAAATTACCCTCACTGGGATTCGAACCCGGAGCCTTTGGGTCTGAGGCAGGTGGTCTACACTAGATCTGTAAAATCTGTATTTCTTAAGATTCATTTTTGCAAAAGGTAGCCCATGACCATTACCAGGTAGTTCTCATCTAAGTGGAGATACCAAAATACATCGAAATTAAATGTGATCAATAAATAAATAGGAATTTTCCTTAATCACCTGACAGCCCTGGCTATAGTAATTTAATAGCACGTGAACTCATAATTGATAGCTTACAAATGTATGCTTACCTCTCCAATGACCGATCTGTATGGCGCACTCATTGTTTTGTAATTAGTTTTAATTGTTTAATTACTGTTGTGTCGTTATAGTAGACTAGCTTTTGCCCGCGGCTTCACCCGCGAGAATTTCGTTCGACTAAGGGACAATATGCGAACATCAGGCCTCCTCAACCCGTCTGGCCAGCGTGGGGAGTGAAGGACAAATCCATTAACCATTTGTAAATTGAAGAGGGTCGTGTTCGTGTTCTTGAAGTGGAGACTAAATGACTTGATCATAAAGTTCGTTCGTTCGTTCGTTTCAGCCAAATGACGTCCACTGCTGGACAAAGACCTCCGCCAAGGTTTTCCACAATGCACGGTCCTGCGCTGCCCGCATCCAGGCTCTTCCCGCCATAAAGTAATTCGTCAGATTAACGAAGAACATAAATGAATTACTTAACCCTCAGTCAAATGTTGTTTGTACGCAATAATGTTTCTAAAAGACCTTGATTATGTTTCTACCGCCATCTATTGACCTTTACACTAAAGGAGTTATTATTTCAATTAGAGATATGGTGTCATCCCAATGGAAGGTTGAAACTGAATGCCTACTAAAAATTCGTAAAACTATCTATTTTTACAAGTAGGCTTTTCGTTCGTTTCAGTCGAAAGACGTCCATTGCTGGACAAAAGCCTCCCCCAAGGATTTCCACAAAGACCGGCCCTGCCCTCCTCCAGTGACCTTCACCAGATCGTCGGTCCATTTAGTGGCTCGTGGTCGCCACTCAAGAACTTTCCTGCCCCAGTGGCCATCAGCTCTACGAGCTATGTGCCCCGCCCACTGCCACTTGATTTTAGCGATTCTGCGGGTCACTCTGGTTCTCCTACGGATCTCCTCATTTCTCATTCGATCACTCAAGTAGGATTTTAAAAAGCACTTTTACATGTCCCAGTAATAACCCTACCACCGCTTCGGGACAATAAATAGACCAGTGCTGAGAAGAAGCAGCGCAAGAAACTCAGTCACTATTGTCAGCCACTTGTCAACCACACTTGATCCGTGACTGGGTCACCTATGTCCTTTTCTTAAAATTCAGCTTTCTTTAGGCCCAGTTTTTTGATTCGTAGTTAAAATAACAAATTGTTAAATTTTGCTACTAATGGTTAAATATTAACAAAATGTTAAGTAATAGTTAAAAATGTATTAAAAGTCGAGCTAACCATTGTTCGAAAAACATTTTTTTCTGATATTTAACCACTTGTCATTTGACATCTGTCAAATTTGACCATTGGTTATTTTAACTACGAATCAAAAAACCGGGCCTTAGTGGTTTACGCATGTAAATTGGCAATAGACAGAAATAGCTAGGTAGGAGTATCTTACTGGAGGGAAGTCGAACCTTAACTTCGAACTCCTCCTATGTTCTTCTGATTAATTTCGTTGCGGTCCAATGACGATTTAAATTTAAACGAAAAACTTGATCTTCACTGGTTGGGTTACTGGCGGTCAAGCTGTAGACCCTGGCTACACAGGAGTTGCATCGGTGGGAACGGGAGGTGGGAAAGTACCGTATCTATATTTGAAGGGGGGCCAGGTATACATATTTTGAAGTAAAAATGCGAAATAATTTCAACAGGCGTGTGTACTGATCGGTTCCACAAGGCAGAGAGAGAAACTTACAAATATAGGGTGTATGACGGTTGGCACCACTGTCAATGTCACAATTTTTATATAGGGTATCACTCGCGATCGCGAACATGCCCCCGCGCATTGAAGGCTCATCCTTCAACCGAAACGTCTTCTTCTGGGAGCAACGGAACAATTGCCTTTCATATTATAAAGAGGTAATGTTTGTAGCTTTGAAAGGTTTTATGTAATCTCTGAACCGATTTTGAAAATTCTTTTACCATTAGAATGTCACATTATTTGGGACTGTCATAATTATGCTATTTACCTATTTACCCGAAAAATAAACTTCTTCTGAACGAAATTCAGGCTGGTGAAGCCGTGGACAAAAGCTAGTATTTCACAACAGCAAGTGAGCCTACTGGACCGTTGATTTTTAAGTGCGAATATATGTTGTTTAATGTTTGATCAGCTCTATTTGTTCTTAAATATGTTAATGTTGAAGATAATAGTTTGTCTTATCGATTCACGCCTTCTTATTACCTAAATGTTGATGATGGAGAATGATAAGGTAACTAGCGAATTTAGCTAGTATGGAGTCAAATAATATACTTGCCTACAAACTTCTTATAGAGAGTCTAACCGCGTACTTTCAAATCTTTAGTTCGGTGCTTGAAGTAAGCCTGCTTAAGTAAGTGGAAACAGCCTCTGGTGAATTTAAGAGAGTTAATTGTGTTTGTACATGCAAACTAAATAATAATAATAATAATGGACGTATGGAAGAGCAAGGAGCTGCACGGGAGGTTCTATCGGGCCCTTACAGGTCCTGATGTAGACCTCCTCGCCTCGGTGAACTGGCTACGCTTCGGTGACCTCTTTGGGGAAACCGAGGGTTTTGCTTGTGCAATTGCTGACGAGGTCATGATGACGAACAATTACCGAAAATATATCCTTAAGGACGGTACGGTCGACATTTGTCGAGCATGCCACCGTCCCGGAGAGTCACTCAGGCATATAATTTCTGGTTGTTCGCATCTTGCTAACGGTGAGTACTTGCACAGGCATAGCCTAGTAGCCAGAATCATCCATCAGCAACTTGCTCTTCAGTACGACCTTCTTGAATCTGAGACGCCTTATTACCGATACCAGCCGGTGTCAGTTCTCGAAAATGGTCATGCATTGCTCTATTGGGATCGTTCTATCATCACAGACAGGACTATTGTCTGTAATAAGCCTGATATTGTGGTGGTTGACCGATCCCAACGTCGGGCAATGCTCGTTGAGATTACCATCCCGCATGACGAAAACCTCGTGAAGGCCGAGAAGGAAAAGCAAAGCAAATACCTTGACTTGGCCCACGAGGTGACCGCCATGTGGGATGTTGACTCGACGATCATTGTCCCGATAGTTGTCTCGGCAAACGGGCTAATAGCGAAGAGCTTCGACCAACATCTAAAGAAGCTCTCGCTGGATGGTTGGCTCAAGGGTCAGATGCAAAAGGCGGTGATCCTCAGCACGGCACGCATTGTCCGGAGGTTCCTCAGCCTGCGACCCTGACCACCGGTAGCTTGGGCCCTGCTCCGCTACCAGCGGAATAACTATTTTTAAGTATTTTTTTAAAATGTATTTTTATTTATTTTTTTTTGATAATTTACATTGTAAAAAAATATTTAAAATTAAGAACCAAAGTTAATAAAGAGAATAATAATAATAACTAGACGGATATAAACATACATAAATACTTTTTTTTTGTAAATACATACATACATAGTATACATATAGAAAACACCCAGACCCGTCACAGAAATTACCTGATGATTTTTCATCCATAACGAGGATCGAAGTTCTTGGACTGCATCTCACCTGATGGAAAGTAATGATCAAGCCGAAGGTGGAAGCAAGGTTCATCCGGAATCCTCAACCAAAGAGGAACTGGGTATCTTACCTCTAACTGCCGGAACACAACAAGCTGTTAATATTAACTCAAATAATTCCTTTGCAGGTGACAGATCTCTTCGGCCAAATGCGGGAGCCGTCGCCAGGGGCAGCCAGCCCTAAAGGCTCCACCAGCTCGCTGCATGCTGGATCGGTGACGAAGAACCTGGGCTTCCAGCAGCAGCATGCTCAGGAGCTACCATGGAACAGCCCTACGATATCGCTGCCTGGAGCTTGCAACAGTAATCTGTAAGTTTTCCAGAATCAGTTAGTAATTTTTGATATCCTTAGGGGAGGTGAGCCCAAAGCGGGTATACCGCCCAAAGCGGGTAGCCTTCATTATTCACGTATACAAGCCGATAGTGCACATGTGTGCGTTTCGTGGCAACGTCCGAACTCGTTTCGACACGAATCAGTTTTGCTAAAACATCGGCGACGCGCGGCGGAGATCCGAGACGCGAATGTTTTTATTTGCCTGTTTCACAAAAAAATATCAAGATATGTGAATATGAATTACTTCATTCTGTTTAAAGTTGTGTTGAATCTGTTACTTGTGTATTATTCTGCATTAAAACAGCGTAGAATTCTTATTGTTTGAGCAACATTTCTGATAAAGATTTTGAGATTATTTTACAAAACCTGAAAAAGTATCTTTTGGGCAAAGCGGGTATGGGTAAAACGGGTAACCGCTTCTTATCCTTATTCTAATTATATATGGATACAAAAATGGTAGTTTCATAGGTAATTTTTGTTGTTTTGGCTGAACAAGAATCTGAATTGATAGAAGTCTTGTTTCAACATGGATAATCTTTTTTTGGTCTGACAAAATCGGATTTTTATCTCACGTATATCAATATGCAGAGAGCAATAGAATTCCGCACCCTTTCAAAAGTCAAACTGCTGGAAAAGATTGGTGTAAAGCCTTTGAAAAGAGATATCTCCAACTAACATTAAGAAAGTCAAAGCCAACGTCAGTAACTCGCCTTGCCCAGTCTCGACCCGTTTTGCCCCAGGGGCCATACCCGCTTTGGGCACCCCCTGCGGGCAAACCGGGTAAAATGACCGACTGATTAGTTCTTAAATTTTTGAAGTGATTTGTTACAAGAGAAGTGATTTTTAGTTTTTATTACAAAGTTTAATACATACTTGTACGAATTATTAAAAATATATAACTTTGCAACTGCAGTAACGTCTTTTATATTGACACAAACCTTAAGTTACCCGCTTTGGGCCCATCTCCCCTATACCTACATAAAAATAAATAAATTAATTAATTTATTTGCCAGAATACGGTTCCCAATGGTTATAGAGAGAGAAGTTTCCAACATAATTCTCGTACATAATACGATGTGCAAATATTACAAAAAATTTTAAAAAATACGGTTATGTTTATAATATTAAAAAGTAGTATACCTACGGTCAGGTACTTTCCGTGACCTTCACCAGATCGTCAGTACATCTAGCGGGAGACTGCGTCTAGAGCGTATCACTTTTGAAAATCATTTCTGGTTACTGCTCCAACGTAAAAAGCTAAAGCTATTTTACAGGGTGACTGGTAATTAGTGGCGGAGCCGTTAAGGGGAGGTAGTCTAGGGTTATACTGCCAGATATCACTATTAAGCCTACCGTCCTTAATTAAACCTTTCCAAAATATTCCTACTTAAAGAGTGTAACCAAAAATTTTCAAATAGTAATAAATCTTAATAAAGCTTGATTTTAGCCTACTTTGTTTTGTTTTGCAACAAAGATAATTCTAAATAAGTAATATTAATTGTTCAATCTTCGTAACTGTCATTGTTTTATGCAAAAACTGCTAAACAAAAACATAAATAAGGACGGTAGGCCTCATAGTGATATCTGTCAGAATAACCCTTAACGTCTCCGCCACTAATTACCACTCACCCTGTATAATAGCTTTAGCTTTTTTACGGTGGAGCAGTAACCAGAAACCTGGACTTTCAACAGTGATGCGCTGTAGAGGCAGCCTCTCGCTAGGTGTACTATCTGCTGAAGGTAAGAAAAGTACCTGCACGAGGGCAGCACAGGACCGGTCGTAGTGAGAATCCTTGCGGGAGATCTTTGTCCAAAAATTGTAGCAGATTGAATGGAGTTGTTTCATTTATTTGTGCTTGTTCGTATTTTACGTATGATGTCAACGTAATTTTCCTTATTCCCATAGAGCTGTTGATAACAAGAATCAATATTTATTAATAGCAAAATAAGTTAAAGTACGAGTACAATTTTATTATTAACCATGTTAAAATATTTCAAAATTTTCAAACAAGCGATGATAGATCCCAATCTTTCATTCACAAGTATTCACAAGATATTCACGCTAGTGACTAGTGACACGTGTCTAAATACTCGGTCCAAAGTCGCGAACGTTGGCTTTAATCCAAAATACAGCACCATTAACCTTATATACGAAATAATACATCACAGTGTTTATAAATAACGTTCGAGTATTTTTAAAGAACACTTAATTACGGGTTTGAAATTAAGAGTTTCTTCTATCTTTATATAAATCATTGGTTCCCAAAGTGCCGTGCGTGTCGTGGCACCCGCAGTGTAGGGTTCCGTAGTTGTCCGTCGTTACCACAATATATTTCAGATCAAGCAATCATTCATCTAAAGTCACTTTTCATATTTTCTTGTAATGATTTTTTATTAGGTAAGAAATTTTATAATACACTAGCGGCCGCCCGCGACTTCGTACGCGTGGACCTCGTTTTACCACCTTAGGGGTGGAGTTTTGTAAAATCCGTTCTTAGTATCTATAGAGCATACATTTTAAATTTCAACTCTCTTACTTCAAACAAATAGGACTTTCATATAAACTTTCAACCCCCCTTTTATCCCCTTAGCCCTCTAATTGATTTCTAAGGATAGGTACATTATTAGAACACCTCCACAACATCTAGAGAGTTCGTTCGTCGTTAGTTTCAGCCGAAAGACGTCCACTGTTGGACAAAGGCCCCCCTCAAGGATTTCCACAAAGACCGGTCCTGCGCCGCTCGCACCCAGGTTCTTGAGTGGCGACCACGAGCCGGAAGACGTAGCGTGCTCAGGCCTCCCACTAGGTGGACCGACGATCTGGTGAAGGTCGCGGGAGGAACAAGCCTTAATTCATTCCAATTATTGTTAAGATGCTGTTGTTTACTCCCCACTGATATCAATTGGTCTTAATGAGTTTTCATTATCGACGGCATTGAGCATTATTGGTCGAAGTTGGTCAAACACGTGCCTGTCCTGCAATGATGACGAGCATTGTATAGATCGTTTCATCCACGAAGACGCGCCCCACCATTCTTCCGCTAATGTTTCAGTGTTATCGGTACACGCTAAATTAACCATGAGTGCACACGCACACTACAATAATGACGCTCGGATTGCTCGGATCAAACTCCCCGCACCCCGCGCGACTTCGACCAAAAATTGGTGGGGCGCGTCTTCGTGGATGAAACGATCTACCTATATCTTGCTTGCGCTGCTTCTTCTCAGCACTGGCCCATTTATTGTCCCGAAGCAGTGGTAGGGTTATTACTGTACTTTTTAAAAGCCTACTTACTTGCAAAAATAAATGAATTTTATGAGATTTATCATTAAAAATCCTTAGGGAGGCTTTTGTCCTGATGTATATGGCTAAAACGAATTCGTATCAATTAAAGAGATGCATAATTTCACCGTAAAATTGTGAAATCCGTCAGATCTAACGTAGTAAGATTATAATCTAACCTAGAGCCACTATGTTACTTTACAACCTCACACGTTATAATATTAATCAATATCTTGCATCAATAATTGGTCACTGACAGTTACATTGCTGGCGAGGACTCTATCCACTAGTTGTTGCAGTGATAAGAGATATCAATCAAATCCGAAAACTCAGTGAAACATCCTATAAAAGAGCTATATTTATGGTATCCTTCCGTTTGGCCAAATTACTTTTCGCCAAATTTCACTTCGCAAACAACTTATCGCCAAAGTTTCATTTCCCAAATGAACTTTTAGCAACTGTACTTTTCGCAACTAATTCATTTGGTCAAATTATCATTTGGCTAAATTTTACTTGGCAAATGTTTATATAGCAAATGTTTTATGTTGCCAAATATTATATCCCAAATAATTTGTTTGGTCAAATTGACACTTCACATACTTACCCACCGTTACCCACAAATCAAAGCATAAAAATTTTACTTGGCAAATGTTTATATAGCAAATGTTTTATGTTGCCAAATATTATATCCCAAATAATTTGTTTGGTCAAATTGACACTTCACATACTTACCCACCGTTACCCACAAATCAAAGCATAAGGCATATGATCATGGTTTTCACAATAATTTTATGTAAAACATTGCAGAAAATAGTATGGTTGCAAAAAGTAGGTATTGCAGAAAATAGTAGGTTAGGTTAGGTTAGAACAGTGACCCTTAATGCGCGAAGGCGAGCGAAGCGTGCCGCGGCAGCGGCCGCCGAGCGCTAGAATCACCTCTATTGTTAAAGAATCATTTGGGTACTTCTCATTTACACTCAAATTTGATGGTCACACAATAATAGTTCATAAACGGTATAAGTTAGAACAATACCTTTGAAATCAGATGATAAAATATCTATTTAGCTACATACAAAATAAATTTTATCGTAATAGAAGCAAAAATAACACGAAAAAATCACATGAAACGATAAAAAACGGGGTCATTTTTCGAGTTCTCATCGTGTCACACCTTCGGTTGCAATGAAACATTTGGTTACTGCATTCACAATTTTCATTCAATTTGTGTGTATCATATACTAAAACCATCGTAATTAAATATACTTTCCACACAATAGTCAAAAAAATATCTTCTTATAATTATTTTGAATTGAGAAAGCGAAATACGTTGGTCACACGATTTTAGGTACCTAAAATTTTGAGTAATAATACAAGATTGCCGTTAAAACGAACACCAGGAACCAATCACAGTGTTCTATTCGGTTAACGTCAGTCACGCTTCGACCATTGGGGAGGTGAGATAGGTCGATCGTCGCTCCGCGAAAAAAATACGTAGCTTTTTGTGATTGTCCATAGACATATCGATACCTCTGGGCTCAAAGGTCGTAAAGGACAAAGTACGACTTTTCAGGAGAAGCAAAAAACGTTTTTTTATTTTTTTATTCGACGATAACTTTTTTGTTTTTTGAGCTATTAAATTATGACTTATGAAGAAAGTGCTTAGAATTCACAGCCTTTTCCGAAGAGGTATTGAAAAACTGGACTAGAGCTGTATTTACTGAGATAGATTTCCTTTACGCCCTAAAAATTACAATAAAAAGACCTTTACGCCCCTCAAATATTCGTCCTAGGCAAGTTACTCAGGACGTAAGTCTATTTTTATTTCACAAAACTACAAAACTAAGGTAATTAATGACAATTTACATAGTTTTGTAGGTTTTCATGGGTCGTAACGGGACACCCAGGTAAGGTATTATGAAAGGGTAAATTGATGATTTAGCTTAAATATTTAATATTTAATGGTATTTCATATGTAATGTACCATTTCTTCACACATTTTTAATCAATTATGGTCTTTTAAATAAAATAAAATGATTTTCCGCAGCTTCATGATTTAATGCACACAATTTATGAAACTATTTAAGTAGAAGTTTTGATATCTTCGAACTAGAAGAAACTATTTTCGATATAAAAGCTAATTTAGAAAATAAATATTATGATGCTTTTAAATAAAACTTCATAAATGTCTACTTTATAGGAAAAGCCGAAACCAATTTAATTTTATATATTTATTTAATCATTATTATTGTTTCGAAAAACTACAAATAGCGGATTTAATTCCATAGGGCAGTCTGTCCACCAGTTGACTTTATGATAATGCAGATAGAATAGAATTATTAAGGACAAACGAAAACCAAACTATATTAATTATTTATTATATTATTTAACAAGAATTTAGAATAATTACTATTCTAAATTATAAATAAATTAAACATTATTAATTCATAGTAACTTAAAATTATGTCATTGTACCTACTTGGTATAAAAGTAGAAAAGTTAGGTAAGTAAGATTACAAGTAGGAAGATTTTCATTCCAGTAAAGTACATCCACTTACTTTACTCCAACATATACCGTTTTTAAAAGCCAATTATTTTTAATATAAAAACATAACTTCGAAAAAAACTGCATTCACGCTTTTTAGTAGATTAAGTCTCAACATAATATATTTTCCCATGTTGTGTAAATATTTTTCCTACTAGTTATTCTTTATTAGCTGATCCAAATAACTTTAGAAACTATACTAATTTATTATAATTGTAACAGTCAAAACTCAAAAGTGGTTTTGACCAAGGGCGTTAGTCAAAATTACTAGGAAATCAATTAAAATCATTGTAAAGAGTGTAGTATTTGTGTGATTTGTGCATACAAAATAATGACACCTAAGGTACTACAGTAAGGTGACTTTTATTTTCATAATATTTTTAACAAATCTAGCTTTTTCATTTTTTCAATTTTTATAATGACTATCCTAACTTAATTAGGTATAGCCTGACCAGGAACATAAAAACCCTCGCCATGTTGCGGAAAACTAATGGTACTAATTTCTTTTAATGGCAACAGTAACTGAAAACTTCATTGACATGTCACCTTGCATGTCAGTCTATTGCTGTCAAAGTGTAAACAAACTTTATTTTAAATCTGCGCAATTAATTTTGTGAATTAAATTGCTAAAATCTTTTATAGTCGTGAAAGAAAAGTGGTTCACAATGTGTTAAAGTATTTGTCGAAGAGAAATACTAAGAAGGAAATTAATGTAGAACAAATTTTATATTAACTCCCCACTAAACAAAATAATAACCACAAGCTAATTTGTATACCATTCTATGCACCAATCAAATTATTTTGTAAATAGTTTATCGTGAAATATTTTTGCCTAATGAAACATTTGGCAAACCATACTTTGCCAAACAATAATTTGCTAAACAATAATATGCCAAAAAAAAACATTTGCGAATTAAAAGTTTGCAATAAGTTGCTTTGCCAAATGAGAATTTGCCAAATGAAAATTTGCGAAACGTTGTTTGCGATGTGATAATTTGGGAAACGTTTTTTGGCCAAACATTAGTAATCCTATCCTATACTCTACGTTGTTTGTGACGTAATAACATACACAACAGGCTGTGTCAAAGGTTTTTAAGTAAGGATCAAGGTTGTTGAAAATGTTAGTTCAAATCGTAGTTTAAGTCATGTCACACTACTACTGTGTGGCGTAAAGCTGTAACTTTAAGGTTCAAAATTAGGTTGACTTCCTTTACATATTGCGTTAAAAATATCCAAACACCAAATTCATAGCATAATGAGCGTATTTTTGTTTCAGAACGAGCGAGACTCAGCCGCCGCTAGTGCGAAGTGTCAGCAATGCTTCAGCCCTCACCTCCCTCTGTGCTGACCTTTCACCATCTGACTCCCACTTCTTTGAGGTAATATGATGGTCATGGTCATGGTCACGCGATCAATCGATCTTCTTTGCTCTTAGCGTAGCTTAAAGCCTGTAGATAGACGGACAACTCTGAGATTGACGCCCGTATTCACAAACATTACTATGAGGACTCACAGTGCGCGTGGATGCACAAGGTGACACACGAATCAATCAGAGAGCTCTATTCAACACTGTGCGTTCGATTTGCTGCTTCACTTAAGCAAGCATCGTTTGTGAATACGGGTGTGAGATTCCAGGTGAAGCTCGCTTCCACCTTCAACCTGATCACAATAATTCTATCCCTAAACCCAATCAGTTTTCATTTACCTAAGATTTTTAGTAATAACAGTTCATAAGTCAACGCAGTTGGCGAAAAAGTCACGTTTTAAGTTTGTTCTTGAGTTCTGAGCGTTCTGATAGCTCATAAAAAGTATACTTACTTAACCTTTAGTTTTATACTGGATAGAGAGCTTAAACATTACATATTTTCATAGGTTCTCTACATCGGCAAGGTGAGGATATCCCAGCGGAAGGTACCAGAGTCCCTGATTGACGATGCGCTGCACAAATTCGCTCAGCATGAGGCTGAGAAGATCAAGAATCAAAGACGACACAGCTTACTCTCTTCTACTGGGGTATGATGAACATATTTTTATAACCAAGAAAATAATTTCATCTTGATTATGAACTGCTTTTGCGACCTAGTGATAAGACCACCGTCCTCAGACTATAAGGCTCTGGGTTTGATTCTCATTAAGGCCAACATTCTCTGCTTAGTGATCACCACCATCTTACTTAATTGTAACATTATTGTTATGTTGTGTTTAAGCGTCTGCTTCAACTGTTGAAGTATTTGTTAATTTAATTTGTAATGATATTTATATGGGTCTCTCCAGATCTCTGACCTCACCAATCAACTCATGGAAGAGAGACGGAACTTGGTTTTGCAGTCCTCTGAAGATGCTGCTCAGTATCGGCGCCTTAACAGACAGATCTCCAAGTCTTTGACTCGCGACCTACGCCAATTTAATACAGACCGTATTAAAGAGGCGATTGAGCGAAACAAAGGCTCTAAAGTGTTCGCAAGAGATCTGTCTGTTGGCCAAAGTCAACTGACCAAGCTGAAGACAGAGGATGGCAGAGCCATTTCGTCGGGGCCGGAGATATTGGAAGAGGTTGAGAAGTTCTACGGACAATTATACACGACTGTACGCGCACCTGTCACAAATCTAGCCGAAGACCCAAGAGCTAGACTGACCCGACACTATACCGAAGATATCCCGGACGTCAGTCTGTACGAGATTAGAATGGCTCTCAAACAGCTGAAGAACAACAAGGCACCGGGTGATGATGGAATCACGGCTGAGCTTTTGAAGGCAGGCGGAACGCCGGTACTAAGGGCTCTTCAGAAGCTGTTCAATTCCGTCATCCTCGAAGGAAAAACGCCTACGACATGGCACAGAAGTGTGGTGGTACTCTTCTTCAAAAAAGGTGACAAAACCTTGTTGAAGAATTATAGACCCATCTCACTTCTGAGCCATGTCTACAAGCTGTTTTCGAGAGTCATTACGAATCGTCTCGCTCGCAGGCTCGACGACTTCCAGCCTCCCGAACAAGCCGGTTTCCGAAAAGGCTTTAGTACCATAGACCACATACATACGCTAAGGCAGATTATACAGAAGACCGAGGAGTATAATCAACCACTTTGCCTGGCGTTTGTGGATTATGAGAAAGCCTTCGATTCGGTCGAGACCTGGGCAGTGCTACAGTCTCTCCAAAGGTGCCAAATTGACTATCGATATATCGAAGTGTTGAGGGGTTTGTACAAAAACGCCACAATGTCGGTCCGCCTCCAGGATCGGGATTCGAAACCTATCCAGTTGCAGCGAGGGGTAAGACAGGGAGACGTCATATCTCCAAAACTGTTTACCACCGCCCTGGAAGATGTCTTCAAGCTTCTGGACTGGAACGGATTTGGCATAAATATCAACGGCGAGTACATCACCCACCTTCGATTCGCGGACGATATCGTAGTCATGGCTGAGACCTTGGAGGATCTAGGCACAATGCTCGATGGCCTCAGTAGAGCCTCTCAACAAGTGGGCCTCAGAATGAACATGGACAAGACAAAAATCATGTCTAATGTCCGTGTTGCACCCACTCCTCTGAAGGTTGGAGACTCTACACTCGAAGTTGTCGACAATTATGTATACCTGGGACAAACAGTCCAGTTAGGTAGGTCCAACTTCGAGAAAGAGGTCAATCGTCGAATCCAACTCGGATGGGCAGCGTTCGGGAAGCTTCGCCATATACTCATGTCCGAAATACCGCAGTGTCTCAAGACGAAAGTCTTCGAGCAGTGTGTGTTGCCAGTGTTGACATATGGATCCGAAACGTGGTCGCTTACTATGGGCCTCATAAGAAGGCTCAAGGTCACCCAAAGGGCGATGGAGCGGGCTATGCTCGGAGTTTCCCTGCGTGATCGAATCAGAAATGAGGAGATCCGCAGGAGAACCAAAGTAACCGACATAGCTCGCAGAATTGCTAAAATCAAGTGGCAGTGGGCGGGGCACATAGCTCGTAGAGACGATGGCCGTTGGGGCAGGAAAGTTCTCGAGTGGCGACCACGGGCTGGAAGACGTAGCGTGGGCAGGCCTCCTACTAGGTGGACCGACGATCTGGTAAAGGTCGCGGGAAGAGCCTGGATGCGGGCAGCGCAGGACCGTTCATTGTGGAAAACCTTGGGGGAGGCCTTTGTCCAGCAGTGGACGTCATTTGGCTGAAAAGAAAGAAAGAAAAGATTTATATGGGTACGTAAGGCGAACTTATCGTGTCATGATGCATTATCTGTCATAGCTTACAGTTATTGTTTATTTTCAGACCTCAATATACAGCAACGACTCCACAGAAAACATTTCAGAGCCAAAAAATGAGACAACCACCAAAAAAATCAACATAACACCGAGCACGACCCCTCTAGAGCCAGACAAATCTTGGAAAAGTGTTGAAATAATCCCCAAAACGAAAACAGAAGAAATAGACAAAGAATTCGACATGTTCACCAAAGAACGCGTCGAAATCAAGAAGAATCACCAAGAAACTATAGTCATCAACATTCCTAAGAATAATTTAGGCACTGTGAATGAAGATGAAGAGAAAAACGATATAAATTCAGTCATATCCGAAACTGCGTCTTCAATAACACAATTTTGTCAGACTGTCATCAAAAATGTCGAAGAAGCCGACAGAAATGAGAAGGAAAATAATCCTTTTGCGAAAGAAGCTAAAGAATCTAGTCAAACAAAATCTGTAGATGATAAAACGACTGATAATAATCAATCGCCGACGTTAAATTTTAAAGAAATATCGAGGAAACCAAAGACTGTTAATGATTTTAAAGAATCAAGTGATTTTAAAAGAGGTGGTTTGCCGGAGAATAAGCCGTTTTTGAGGGATCGTGCAGCGTCAATTGGAACGCTGAATTTGAAGACGCCCATTGCTCATTTGATTGGGGAACAAAATAGAACAATGCTTTTCCAGGTATGATTTCAATTAGCTGAAATAAAGGTCTTAGCAGACTTATCATCAACTCGGAAAGAGAACACCGTATAGCCTTTCGTGAGCTGTTATCGTCTTTCACGCGCTGTCAACTGCGAGGCGAGGCGTTTACGTTGCGGTGGGGATTGTGGCCGTTGCAGTATGGAGTTTTATACAAAGAATACTGACCGCCTCGAGTTGATACGGTTGCGATCTTTCCGGGTTGATACATGAGATACGTCATTTAAACTCACAGCTTTCCTTTTTTCTTCCTTATTCGATTTTTGGTAAGACTATTGACCGTGTGATTGTGGGCTTCTGGCAGAGTATAATAGAGACATCTTTTACTTTTCCTGTAGATGTCTAAAAGGTATATGCGATCTGGCAGTGTGGAAGGCCAAATCCACCTTTTGCCTCTGGTAAATGTGACGCGTACCAGAAAACGCAGCGTGGGACGTCCACCCATAAGGTGGACCGACGACATCATAAAGGTAGCAGGAAAGCGCTGGACGCAGGCCGCTACCAACCGGGTAACATGGAAACATTGGGGGAGGCCTATGTTCAGCAGTGGACGTCCTATGGCTGAGATGATGATGATGATGATGATGATGAAATGTTACATAGCCCATGGATACTAAATTACCTGATGATGATGATGCTGCTATCTAGGTTTAATAAATTTCTTTTCCTTCACTATAAACATTTATTTACACATTCTTTTCCTCAACTGAAATACTTTCTTTCCAGGTTGGCCGTTCAGAGCTACGGCTGATAAGCCCAGATAGGAAGCAAATCTTGCTCCACCGGGAGTTCAAAGACGTAGCCAGCTGTGTGTTGGGCAGGATACACAAGGAACACTTTGGCTTCGTTTGCAGGGAGACCAACGAGTCGTACGCTTGTTATGTGTTCAAGTGTGAGAGCGATTCAGTTGCCTGTGAGGTTATTAATGGTAAGTTTAAGGACGCCTTCACATTTAGGCGATAAATGCGCGACACACGCGCTGCCGATAATTTCATACTATTTTTTTATTTATTTATTTATTTACACTTTTGCACATACATATGTACAGTGGCGGACTTAATGCCAGGTGGCATTATCTGCCAGTCAACCACAGGTCGAGTAGAGAGATTAAGGTTACTATATGACGGCGGAAGCCTGCTTTCAAATTATAAAAACGCCGCTGCCGCGTTGCAGTCGCGATTCTGTCGCCCTAATGTGACACCTCGGTCTAACACCTTTTGGATCTGGTGAAGGTCGCGGGAAATACCTGGATGCGGGTAGGACCAGCTGTGAAAATCCTTGAGGGAGACCTTTGTTTAACAGTGGACGTCATTGAACTGAAATGAATGAACCAACGAAACCCTTTTCATAAAGTAACCCATTCAACCCGTATTGGATAACCTCGTTTCAAGCGGCCATCGAAGGTGCGTTAGTAGCGATGTAGACTCAATAAAAATGGCGCTTTTATAAATTGTTGTGTGCACAAGCCCTAAGTGTAGAATAAGACCACTCCTACTCTTGACGTGGATGTCTTAAGAGGCGACTAAGGGACAAATATGCGAACCTCCGGCCTCCCCAACCCGTCTGGCCAGCGTGGGGAGTGTAGGACAAATCCATTTGCCTCTGGTAAATTAGAGTCGTGCTCCTGCAGTGGAGACTAAATGACCTGATGACGAGCCAAAGATGCTACATCAAGTTAATAGGCATCTTATCAAGCTGTAATAGAGTCTATTTTCGAACAGCAAATTGATCGTCCTAATATTTTCTTTTCAGCAATAAAGCAAGCGTTCGTAGCACACGCTGAGCTTTTGAAGAAATCCCGAGAGAAGTCGCCGAACATGACTTGCGAACATTGCCCCATGCTGTGGTACCATCGACTGTGCCATGATATTGAAGGTAGGTACTTATACTTATTTGTAGTACAGTCAGCGTCATAATATAGTTCTTGACACGCAAAGTGGCCAAAAAGTTGACAACCCAACCTTATTCCAATTGTAACAAAGACGTGTTGCGAACTTTTTGGCTACTTTGGGTGTCTCGAACTATTTGACGCTGACTGTACCTATATGCTATTTATTATGCAATAAGACCGTTTTTTTGCTGTCGAAAGTAAGGTAACCTCATATCAAAGTAAACACTATAGCACCTACGACGACCTCATAAAGGTAGGAGGAAGGCGCTGGATGCAGGCCGCTACCAATCGCGCGATGTGGAAGTCATTGGGGAGGCCTATGTTCAGCAGTGGAAGTCCTGTGGCTGAAATGATGACGATGAAGTTAATATAGGTGCTATGTGCTACTGATGATATATAAACGGTAAAATAAACTAATATACTGCCCCATATCTAGTCCCAAACTAAGCAAAGCTTAACTTGTTATACATGTACTAATAGTATACGTATAAAGAGGAAAGATTTGATTGTTTGTTTGGAGATATGCTCCAGAACTACTGGACCGATTTGAAAAATTCTTTCACCATTAGAATCCTAATAATTTTCTGCGTAACATAGGCTATAAAGTGTGTTATTATAGGCACATAAAGAATACATTACATTACAAAGAATAAGTACATAAAAAACACCTAAACCAATACAGATGTTCACGCGCCACATATTTGTATGGTGCGGGGATCGAACCCTCGACCTCTATAAGGACAATTATTTATTACAGGTATGAACGAAAAGAAAATCCACGCTTTCATATTGAGACGCGTGGAACAACTACCTGAAGATGAACAGGAGTTGATCATCACCAAGTATCAAGGGGGAACCAATCACATGTACGAGGTAAGGGGAATTCTTTTACAGAATAGAGCATAATAATGTCATAGTCTGAGTGGTTGAAATAACCGCCTCTGTGGTCTAGTACCACCTGCTTCAGACGCAGAGGTCCCGGGTTCGATTCCCAGTGGGGTCAAATTCGGTTTGGTTGGTGGTAGGGTTTGTTCTAAGTCCGCCTGGCTAGCTACCGCCATCTTACCGAAGTCAGTCGCAATAACAACAATGTTAACAGCATTGTTGTGTTCCGGCAGTTACAGGTAAGATAGCCAGTTCCTCCGTGGTTGAGGAATCCGGGTGAAGCTCGCTTCCTTTCGGTCTGATCATCACTTACCATCAGGTGAGGTACAGGCCAAGAGCTTCCTCGTTGTAAATAAAAAAATCCTGTTCATTTTAAAATCATATTATCTACACCAGGTTTCGTTGTAGGAGTAGCAGTAGAATCATCCTTTCTGCTAAGAAAGATCCACTAGGATAGCTTTCAGTGGTTTCAGCTTCACAGATAGTCAGTCAGTAACGAACCTTTTATGTAGATTCTATAAAGTTTTATTATCTTCAGGTGACCGAACACAATGCATTCCTGATGATGCTCCTCCGGGCTCACTGCGAAGCGAAACAGCTAAGACACGTTCACGACACCGCTGAAAACAGGTGGGTACTAACGTTTCCATTTGATTTTAACATAGAAGCCATGATAGCCGAACGGTGAAGGGGTCGGACTGGCCGACTCGTGATCCGAGGAACGCGGAACCGCGCCGCCGCTCGACTATTTTGGTGAGCTCACTTGTGACACAAGCATTTAGCTTAGTACGAGGAGCTAACGGAACTATTAGTAACTTGTGGAATACAGAAATACTGATGATATTCTATGGTATTTCCGCTTACCAGTTGGCGTCACTGGCAAGCAAAATTGCTAGTAGTTTTGACAGTGGCGCAAACTGGTGTTTTTGCTAAGGAATTGGCGCTACTGGCAAAATTCGTGATAATCAACAATCAACCTAGTGTGTGCAATGCAAATAGTCTTCATTAGCAGAAGATGTTTCAAATACAAAGTTATCAATTTTTTTAATCTCCTTCCTACAATGAAATGGCAGTTTGACACCAACGCTATTGAGCTATCAGTCACTTTTTTCGTCAGTCCATCAAGCAGATAATTTAGATCCGTCTTTATCTTTTCAGATCGGAGTTTCTGAACCAGTACCTAGGTGGTAGCACCATCTTTATGAAGGCCAAGCGATCCCTATCCAGTGGGTTCGACCACCTCCTCAAAAGGAAGGCCAGTAGGGACGACGGCACCCTATTGCAGATGAAAAAGGTAATTATAAGTCTGTTAATCTGGTAATCTGTAGGGACTATTTCCACCTCTCGTTCCCACCGCTGCAACTCCTGTGTAGCCAGGAACTACAGCTTGACCGCCAATAACCCAACTAGTGAAGGTCAAGTTTGTACTCTGTTGAGTAGAATAGGGCCACCCCCGCTCTTTCCGTGGATGTCGCAAGAGATGACTAAGGGACAAATAATATGCGAACATCAGGCCTCCCCAACACGTCTGGCCAGCGTGGGGAGTGTCCAAATCTTTCATTCATCATCATCATCATCATTTCAGCTACAGCAGGACGGCCACTGTTGAATATGCCTCCCTCAATGATTTCCATATTGCCCGGTTGGTAGCGGCCTGCGACCAGCGCCTTCCTGCTACCTTTATGATCTTTCATTTTCCTCTTGTAAATTGGAGAGGGTCATGCTCCTACAATGGAGTCTAAATGACTTGATGATGATAATATCAGTACCTTTCTAGATATTAAGCTGTCACAAAAACCATACAATGAAAACTCCAATTAAAGGTCGTGGGTTCGATTCCCACCTTAAGCAGTTTCATTTTTTTAAGTTATTTAAAAGGCAATTCGATTTTTTCAAGTGATTTAGAACTGTAGTGAAAGTTCTCTTATATTTACTCCAGGAGCCATCCCCTCTACCTACCAGTATGGATAGCCCCACAGAGACACCGAACCTGGACCTTCTGTCACCAGATGCGAGAAGCAAGTCACTGTCGCCCGGTTCTGCTTTACAGGATTCAGGTATTTCTGCTGGTTTATCCCAGATTTGGAGAACAATTTTCAAGGATTTGTTTTTTTACGGAACCCTAAAGGCAGCAGACATATGAACTCTGAAAGTGATCAATACCGTATCGCCTTTTCCGAGCTGTCATATTCATTCCGGCTAAGTGTGCCTTGCAGTACGGAGTTTCATACAAAGAATATACCAACCGCCTTGAGTTGATACGGTTACAATCCGTTTCCGGGTTGATAAGTGCGCTTCGTCCTTTATTTTAATGGTTATATTAATATCTTTATGCTTCTCAGATCCGACGCCATCTCCCAGAACTCCATCGGCAGTGCCAGAAGAAGAATCGGAAGAAGCCAGAGAAGAACCTGGGACTCCTGTCAACTCACCCATGATGGATATGTAAGCACCTGTCGTTTCAGCCAAAAGACGTCCACTGCTGGACAAAGACCTTCGCTAATAATTCCCACAACGACCGGTCCTGCGCTGTCCACACCCAGATACTTCCCGCGACGTTCACCAGATCGTCGGTCCACCTAGTGGGGGGCTTGCCCACTTATATCCAGGTTAATAAATATCAGTGTGCTTACCATGAGTTTACGTTAGGCGTTGCTCGCTAGCGAGTACCTACGGGAAACGGGAATCTGTTTGCTATCTCGGACTTATTTTAGAGAAAAACTTTAGTTTTGTCGAGCACATTAAACAGATCGGTGAAAAAGCTAAAAAGAACTTTTATGCCTTAAGTCACATTTCAACCTCGACGTGGGGTCTAACGTTTAAAATCCTCCGAGTAATATATTCGGCCACTTATTTAAGCTCCATTTGCTATGGTGCACCAGTTTGGGCTGACAGAGCTACTATAGGAGCCGCTCGACGGAAACTACTCCAAAGTCAACGCCTTGCATTGATTTTTCTTTGCAAAGCTTACAGAACTGTGAGCACGGAGGCTCTGCCAGTCCTGGCTGGTGTACTGCCGGTCGACTTAGAGGTACAAAAGCGTGCGGCTATGTACTTCGCATCAAGGGAAAATATAACCTCCGATTTCTTAAATAGCCGCGATCGTTCTAAAATAAGTCGATTATTTGATTCCCGAGAAGTCGTTGAAGAAGATTTACTTAATGAATGGCAAAAAAGATGGGATACGTCAGTCAAAGGACGTCACTTATATAAATTCTTCCCGAATGTACGCGAACGTCTAACTAGGCGATGGTTAGAAATCGACCATTGCTCGTCGCAGTTCCTCACGGGACATGGCAACTTTAAACATAAACTTCACGAATTCAAACTAGTTCCGTCTCCTTTTTGCGAGTGTTCCACTGATGATGTCAGTCATGAGCAGTCTGCCCATCATATCTTGTGGGAGTGTGATCTTTGGAAACATGAACGTGATATAATGCTTAATTCAATACAACATACATCTGTTTCCGCAATTTATTACACCGATCTTGTCGCGACAAGGAAAAATTTCCGTGCTTTTAAGCGATTTTGTGAAAAATATTATTGGCAGGTAGTTGCTAATTGCTCATAAGATAGGCCCCCTTAATTTAATTTATTGTCCGTGGTGCATAATCTTTTCTTAAAGGTTTTAAACCTTTGTTTGTCACCTGTCATCCGCTTTGCAATGGAGGGAAGTCGAACCTTAATTTCGAACTCCTCCTATGTTCTTCTGATTAATTTCGTTGCGGGTCCAATGACAGTTTAACTTTCCCCCGGGACAAACTTGGCCTTCATTGGTTGGGTTTTTGTGGCGGTCAAGCTGTAGATCCTGGCTACACAGGAGTTGCAGTGGTGGGAACGAGAGGTGGGAATAGTCCCGTTTTTAGCGAGTACCTACATAGTACGTCAAAAAAATCTATGAAGATTTTAGTTCTTGAAAGTATCCGCTAGGGGCGCTGAATAATCTGTCATACATTTAATGTAATTTTTTTACGCAGTCGCTAGCGAGCACACGTAACGTAAACTCATGGTAAGCACACTGATGATAGAAGGCCGCTACCAATCTATCAACATGGTTGGAAAGCATTCGGGGAGGCCTATGTTCAGCCTAATGACGTCCATTGCTGGACAAAGGTTATTCTGATTGGTCATTTAAAACATTTGTTATCTTCTCACTCCTTTCCTCTCCGCTTCAGTGGAAACTGGGCCTTAAACAGAGAATAAAGAAAACATAAACTTGGGAAACATCTTTTATTCCTTTAATAATGCGCTGATAAGACCCTCCTAACCTAATGATATCATCATCAGATCATTTAATCTCCACTGCAGGAGCACGACCCTCTAATTGACCAGAGGCAAATGAAGGATTTGTCCTACACTCCCCACGCTGGCCAGACGGGTTGGGGAGCTGAAGGCAGATATTGTCGACACTTTAGTATGCTGTATTTGGATGGCTAAAATATTTCTCTATCTTAACAGATTCCTGAAAGTGAGTGACTCGCGACCAAACGCCACCGGGAGCGGCACAGAAACTGAAGCCACGTGGAGGCAGACCATCTACGAGAAAGTTGTGCAGCCCCCTGATGTTCAGGAAGGTATTTCGTTCATTCATTCACTCACTCATATTTAACTCACTCTCCTCTCATGGACTCTTTCTAACTTAACATGTGGAGCGTTCATTGGAGGCCAAGTATTTGACTCACTTATTCACTTACTGTTTCACTCACTAACTCACTTACTGTCAGTGAAACAGTTACTCAAATCTTTATCACATCATATTCTCAGTTATTGCAATCTTAAGTTGTTGTTGTTTCAGTACCTCAACTATGGACATTTCTATTTAGCATAATTATTATTATTATTCGTTAATCTCTACAGTCAAAGCCTTTTAATTGATTCATGTTGGTACATACTCGTACAGAGGTATCATAAAATAAAGATAAATAGTCGTATTATACATAGTACATTATAATATGATCGTTTCATCCAAGAAGACGTGCCCCACCAAATTTTGGTCAAGGGAAACGCGAGGTGCGGGGAGTTTAATCCGAGTAATACGAGCGTCATTTTTGCAGTGTGCGTGCACTCATGGTTATTTAGCATGTACCGATAATACTCAAACATTAGCCGAAGAATGGTGGGTTGCGTCTTCGTGGATGAAACGATATACCTGTAATTTCAGTGAATAAGATAGTTGGGTAAGCTGTTTGACTCACTCATCCATTTTCTGTCTCGCTCATTTATTTATACCTTTACTTATTCAGAAATATGGTTCAAAACCCCGTATTTTTCCCATAGGAGACCTCAGCCAAGCCATGAACTTACTGGGACAGCCATCGGCGCCCAAAGGCAAGAGGACTAAGGAACAGCTCAAGCAGTTATGGAAGATGGCCATCGACCAGACCATACTCCTCGTGAGAATGGAGAAGGAGAATGCTAAACTGAAAGGTACGCGATGGTCTTTTCATCATCATCATATCATTTCAGCCACAAGACGGCCACTGCTGAACAAAGGCCGGTTGACCGGTTGGTACCGGCCTGCATCCAGCGCCTTTCTGCTACCTTTATGAGGTCCTCTGTCAACCATGTAGATGGATGTCTCACGCTACGCTTGCGCACGTGACCTCCATTCCAGAATCTTGTTGCCCCATCAGCTGTCAGTTTAGGCGTGCTATGTGCCCTGCCCATTGCCACTTCAGTTTGCTAATCCGTTGACCTTTAAAGATTGCATGCAGGAAGAAGTGGGAAATTATTGGGGAAGGCTTGTGTATGTGGACGTCCAGAGGCTGAATGATGATGTTACGGATTTTGACACTCACCACGCTAACCAGACGGGTTGGGGAGGCCTGATGTCGCCTCTTACGATATCCACGGGAAGGTCGTTTATTTGTTTGGGTTTTTATTGGCGGTCAAGCTGTAGATCCTGGCTACACAGGAGTTGCAGCGGTGGGAACGAGAGATGGGAATACTCAACAATGGGATTCTACTCTGCAGGCACTACATGGCTAATTTCGTCACGAATTTATTTTTAACTGTCCCGTATCTACTAAAATAATGGGGATGCTACTTTTTCGGAAACCTTAAGGTTAATTTTGTCATGAATTTACCATTACAGAGAGCGAAGAATCGTCAGCAGTGCGTCGTATAAAGCTGGAATACACTGAGCTAGGGGTGTGCGACGCGGGGGTCACGCTAATGTGGGATCAGCTGCTGTCCCGGGACGTCTCCCGACCCATGGCCCGGATCGACCGGCATATGCTGACCCAGGCTGTTATACAGGGTGAGTTCTTTTATCATTGAAATCTTTCTGACTATTAAATCAACGAAAAAAATCTTTCTTTCTTTGAACTCAACATAAAAAGGCCGAAGCGTTAATATCCTATACGTGAAGACTTCGGACTGGCCGAGATCCGAGGAACATCGCGCTGGTACGAATCCCGCCGCTGCTGGAATATTGTGGTGAATCCACTCGTAACACAAGCATTATTAAACACATTACTTTACTCTTTATTCCCCACTAATATTTCAAATGCGAAGGTAACTCTTCTTTGTTTTTCTGTTATGCTTTCACATCTAAACCATTGAACCGATTTTCCGGAGTTTTGGGAAGGGATAGTTTTTAGGAAAAAGCTGCTTTTGAAATAACCATGGAATATAATTTTGTTCAGGTGTCCCTCGCATGTCCCGCGGAGCCGTCTGGTACTTCCTGGCAGAGCAGGCCGCCTTCCGGTCTCCCCCACCAGATGTGAAAGCCTTTCCGCTGTATCACGCAGCCTACCGCGCGTTACTGGCAGGCTTGACGAAGCACCAGCACGCTATACTGATTGACTTGGGTATGTATCATCATAATTTCAGCCACAGGACGTCCACTGCTGAACATAGGTCCCTCAATGATTTCCATGTTGACCGGTTGGTAGCGGCCTGTGTGCAGCGCCTTCCTGCTGCCTTTACTGCGACGAAATAAAGCTGTGCTGTTGACACCGAATTCTCTGCTATTGGAGTAAATAATTATCTATGATTCATGGTGCATTTTCAACAGGTTACTAGTATTTTTTAACTCAAGTTTATTGGAGCTTACTAGCTGTGTCCACGTTTCATACGCGTGAAGATCATTTGAATTTTTCGTTCGCAACATCTTTTATTGATGTTTTGCTTCTATTGATCGTAGAGTGACGGTCACTGATTGACTGACTCACTCACTCATCACGAAATCTCAGAAATTACAAATGCTAGGAGTCTAAAATTTTGCATAGGGGTTCCTACGTAGGTGCTCACTAAGACGGGATTATGCAAAATTCAATCTCTAATGGTTAAACGGAGTTCACGCGTACGAAATCGCGGGCGGCCGCCCGCTAGTTTTATACAGAAATTAATGAATTCCATTTTTATTTTCAACCTAAGCTAAAGAACAAATCAATTTCTTTTCTCCCCAGGTCGCACGTTCCCCAAGCATTCCTACTTCGCGTCAGCTCTAGGGCCGGGTCAGCTGGCTCTGTACAACATCCTGAAGGCGTACTCATTACTGGACCCTGATGTAGGCTACTGTCAGGGTCTGAGCTTCGTCGCTGGGGTGCTGTTATTGCATGTAAGTTTATACTCTGTTTCTCACTCACTCACTCTCTCTCTCTCACTCACTCACTCACTCACTCACTCACATACTCACTCACTCATTTACTCACTCACTTACTCACTCACTCATTTACTCACTCACTCACTCACTCTCTACTCGACTCTTTGTATATTTTCACTATTCACAACGTGTTAGTCATTCGATTACACTGCGAGAAGAATTGCTTTAAAGGAACAAACCCATAGTTGCACTCCTTCTAGTTCAACTAACGTAGTTGATGTTAGTTGGATTCTCAAAACTACGTTAGTGAGTTGGTCTCTCTCCACTACAACGTCAGTGTGTTAAGCTATTTTCACTATGAGCTGGTCTCTTTCCATAAATTATGTGGATACGTTGTAAGTTAGATTTTCTCTACTTCTATAGTGATTGGAATCTTTCTTCTACTACTTACTGACTCCTTTGGTATTTTTCCACAATATTATCAAGTTTTTGAAAGCCACAAAGGTGCGTCCCGTGATCACTAGATCACTTTAAAAAACCACAATGATTATTTACTTATCCAATGCTATTATTTCAGATGGAAGAAGCAGAAGCATTTGTGCTACTCCGTCACCTGATGTTCAGGCGAGGTCTTCGGAAGCAGTATCTGCCCGACATGAGTGCTTTGCAAGTCCAGGTAGGTACTTACCAGTGAATCATCAACCGTCACAAAGTCCCAAAACGTGTCACAGTGTTACTCGTTTGGGTGTGACTCGTTAGGAACAAGCTTTCTCAAAATTATATTTATTTCGTGTAGTTATGGGCTTGTTCTTGACTGACGGGGTGGGGATGTTGAAATGAGATCCTTTGCTAGAGAGAGAGCTTGCCCAGAAGATGTACACTCGTGGCTTGAAGGCTTAGGGCCTAATGGTTGCCTTATAGTAGCTGCTGTGATGAAATAGCACCAGAAACAATCTATCCCCGAAACAACAAGTTTTGTTTATTTTGGGACTGGATGATGCTGTGTAAAATCATCAGGCTATTGAGTCTCCACTGCAAGAGCACAACCCTCTACTTTGCTACAAATGGAGGATTTGTCCTACACTCCCCACGCTGGTCAGACGGGTTGTGGAGGCCTGATGTTTGCATATTTGTCCCATAGTCGCCTTTACGACATCCACGGGAAAAGTGGTGTTCTATTCTACTCTGCCGGAATCCCATGGCAAGATTCCCAAGCATACAATGTGCTGTAGCTGTAGACCCTGACTACACAGGAGTTGCAGCGCGGTGGGAACGAGAGGTGGGAATACTTTAACCCACAAATGCTTGCTTAAGTGAAGCTGCAAATCGAACGCACAGCGTTGAATAGAGCTCTGTGATTGGTTCGTGTGTCACTCTCTGCGTCCACGCGCACTGCGAGACCTCATAGTAATGTTTGTGAATACGGGCATAAGCATATTATGGTATTTCTATTTTTCCAGCTGTACCAGCTGTCTCGCCTCCTTCGAGATCATGAACCGGAGTTACACGCGAAACTGGAGTCTCTGGATATATCTCCAGCGTTATATGCTGCACCATGGATGCTTACGCTGTTCACCAGTCAGTTTCCTCTTGGATTCGTCGTGAGGGTGTTTGGTAAGTTGAGAGAATAAAGGTCATAGCAGACTTATTTAATTTAATTTAAAAATCTTTACTGAACGCAACATAAAAATACGAGGTACAAAAGGTGAGCTTAATGCCATAAGGCATTCTCTCCCAGCTGACCTTGGGCAAAATCAACTCTGAAAGGGATCAACAACGTATCGCCTGTTAAGAGTTGTCATCGCCTCAGTCAGTCACATTTGAGTTATATTATTTAGATTTTGCAGTAAATACTATTTATCTCCTTTCCAGACCTGATCTTCCTCGAGTCCTTAGACGTGGTGTTCTCCGTCTCGCTCGCTCTCCTCTCAGCGCATAGAGACGGCCTGATGCTGTGCGAAAGCTGCGAGGAAGCGGCCGAGTATCTGAAGCACAAGCTGCCTGATATGAACCGGGTGTTCTATGAGAAGGTCATGAAGAAGGTAAGGGTTTAGGCGAAAGGTGTCATGTTGTAGGGCACTAAGGATCAAATTACTATTGTCATTTAAAGCATAAGCTGCCTGATAGAAGAAGGTGCTTACTCTAAAGCGGGTCGTATTGTGATGCGTTAAGGATTAAATCGCTGTGAGGCTGTGACATTTGAGGCACAACTTGCCTCATAGAATAAGTTAAATGTTTACACTGAAATGTGTCGTGTAGTAAGGCATTAACCCTTAAATTGGCACTCATTGAACCCTTGCTTCAAAAATGGTCAAATTTGAGATTTAGGTATTGTTTTGATAGATTAAGAAAAAAAAGTTTTCTTTTTGAAAAATTTTCAATTAGTATAGAAGTTATGACATGTCACTCAAAACGGACATTGCCAATTATTTAGCATTACATCCATGTCACTTAGGGCGGACATTGCCAGTTTAGGAAAACAAACGTAAAACAACTTTTATTAATAACAATACAGGAATCCCTGATAATCAGCCTCGGGCTAATCCAGCGCCTTTTGCAATCCATCCGGACTATTTACTGTTGATTTTACATAAATTTATCAAAAAATACCCAGACATATAAAAAAAGAAACTGACTGCCTGATTATCAACATAAATCCCAAACCAGTGGGTATAAAGACACAAATTTTGGCATGTAGGTTCCTTATTAGGGTCTAAGGGTGTGATCAGAAAGGATTTTTCCAAAATTACCCCCTAAGGGGGTGAAATGGGGGTCCAAAGTTTGTAGGGCAAAACAAAATTAGTTGCACTATTTAATTCGAAACTTCACAGGAGAACTCCGATGGATAAATTAATAAACACGTGTTTCAGGTTATTTCAGAATTCAACCCCTAAAAGGGGGAAATGGGGCAAAAATGTCTAAAAATCCACATGAGTATTTATTACTGATAAATGGCGTTGTCTGTTTTAAGTGACATAACATTTGTAACCTTGAAATGAATGAAAAAGAATCGATATTTTTTTACAGTTTTGGCAATAATCGTCAGTTTTATTCGTTAATATTCTAAAATCAGTCAATAAAGCACAAGAACAAGTGTAATACCCACAGTGTTGCCATATTTATCAACAGCGAAAACTTGACCTTCCTGTTGCAGTTATTCAACTGTCTTAATTTTTAAAATTCGCGGTTTTTTATGGAGCTACTGCCCCGTGTTTCACATAAAATATCATGCTTTTTATAAAATATCCCTTGAAAATCGATAAATTGCTTTAATTTAGATTCTGTAGGCAATTGTTTGACATGTCCTTTATAACGGACAGAAACCATTTAAGGGTTAAGAATCAAATTGCTGTTGGTATCTGAAGCACAAGCTTGTGTGTTCTATAAGAAGGTTATGAAGAAGGTAAGGGCTTACAGCCCGATGGATTAGCAAGCTGAAGTGGCAATAGGCAGGGGACATAGTACGTAGAACTGACGGCCGATGGTGGCAGCAAGATTCTGTAGTGGAGGCCGCGTACCGGAAAGTAGAGCGTGGGACGTCCACCCACAAGGTGAGCCGACGACCTCATAAAGGTAGCAGGAAGGCGCTGGATGCAGGCCGCTACCAACCGGGCGATGTGGAAGTCATTGGGGGAGGCCTATGTTCAGCTCCAGCCACTATCCTAAATGATGATGATGACTTACTTTTTCACTTAATGTTCTATGCCCTAGATGGGGCAGAGGGTGTCCATAACAGTCCTCCATCGCATTCAGTCTTGAGCTTCGCGTTTGATAATGATCATTAATGACGATAATGAAGTGATTCTCCACTATAGTGGAGGAGGCTCATAGTCCAGCAGTGGACTGTAAAGGGCTGTCTTCTTCTTTTCGTGTCGATAACAAACCTACCAACCGGGTAACATGGAAAGTATTGGGGGAGGCCTATGTTCAGCAGTGGACGTCCTATGGCTGAGATGATGATGATGATGATGAACAAACCTACACAGCATCGGCCCAAAACTCCATCACAAGAATGGCGTTGTCAGTCTAACCTTAATTAAATGTGCAGTTGTTTTTGGGCTGTTGATGATGATGACGATGATGATGATGATGATGAAGTAAGCTTACACTGATTCTCTCCAGGTCCTCTCCTACGACATCAGTCGCCAGCTCAGCGACTATGCCGTAGAATACGCGGTGCTACGCGAAGAGATGCCGCGACTGGCAACCCTGACTGAAGACAATAGAATGCTGACAGCAGACAAGAACAGGATGACTGAGGAGTTGGATGTGAGTAGCACCAGGCCTGTTCATCTCCGCGAGTTTGCATCGAAAACAAAACACGCGCGACTACCCCTCCTGCGGTACCTAATCGACAGGACAATCACGAGCGAGTATTGACGCACGCACGTGTATTCTTCACCACTACCATTCACCACACCATTCTTCAACACCATTTGCATTGTAAAGACAATAAACTATAATGTAAAAACGGTGGTGTAAATTAATACTGTGCAGTATTTTTAACTGCCTGAATAATAATAGAAACACAGAACATAATTCATGCACAAAGAAAACCTTCTGTGGTAGTACTTATTATTATTCTGTGGTAGCAGCTCTGGTATAGAGAAAAATATTTTTATTGGTTTGAAACTTTATGTTGTCCCACATAAAGAAAGTTCAAAATATGGTGGTCCATTCTATAACCACCAGGTAATCTTAAGCCTTCAGTTGGAGTAGAGAAAAAATAATGATGTTTTTTTGGACTAAGAGGCTACACAAACTTATTCATCACCTTTTGTTATTTATGTTTGAGCAGCTCCTAGATGTTCATCAGCTTTCCACTTTCAAACTATATTTTTTTTAACCTTAGATAACAAGTGACTGATTAAATTTAAGCAAAATCACTGAAACTTTAAATTGTTTCTCATGCTGGTATTTCTCTAGTGTGAGAGGGATTAAAATTGGAAGATGGGAAAATGTTGTTACTAAGTAGTTATGTTATTAGGAATGTATCCATTTATAGAAGTCTAACTTCAAATAAAAAAAAAGAAACTGATCCAAATTAATCTATTTTTCTTTACAGTCTGCAATGGACGCCATCACAAATTACCAGAAGTCCCAAGCGCGTCTGGAATCACAAAACAAGCAGCTGGAACAACAAATAACGCTACTAAGCCGGTACATATCAGCTCATCAACGCCAGGACATGCCAGCAGAGATCAAGAGGATCGTCCAAAATCACTCCAAACGCCTCTCTTTCAGCTCCAAAATAAGCTCATTTTCTTCCAAGTTTACCTCCAATGACGAAGAGGAAGAAACCAAGAAGGTTTTCAAGACTGGAGTATCAGCTCCGAATTTGTTCTCCAAGATATCCAAAGAAGATGTCATGAACGCTGTGAATAGAGACAGAACCCCGGAGAATGATAGAAAGTCCTTCATAATGAGGAAGTCCCAGTCAGTCCATTCGGGTTTGATAGCGAATAACCTAAAGAACTATCCTTTAAAAGTCTTAGAAGAGAAGACTGAAGATAACAGAAGATCTGACAGCTTCAGAGATAGAGCAGATCTGAAGGACTCCTTAAAAGAACTAGGGAAGAAGAATACTGGTTTCTTTGCAAGCACACACGAGCAAATCCGTCAAGAGAGGTTATTCGAGCAGCAGTTAAAGCACGATTTTGACGAGAATTTGAAGAAATTAGACGAGAAAATCGAGAACAAATCGTACATCGATGATTTGAACCTGTTCCAGGGTAGAAAAAGCATGTCCCTGAATCTGAAACCTAGGGAACATAAAGATGATAGTGGATTTGTAACGCCTTTAAGTCCTGATGATAAGAGAGATGATACACACTCAGTGATATCTCATCCCCTTAGCGATTGCGATGTGGACATCAAGTTCGATGGACAGTCGACCAAATTGAAGCAAATCAGGCCTTTTAAACACCCAGTAACTGCTACTAAAGATACGTAGTAGTTATAAGAGGTTTTAATGTTGCTATTATAGAACAACTGTTCTTAGCATTTGAGTTAAAGTAATTCAATTGTGGTCCATTTCAAAGAGTGAAAACTGAATGGTTTCTTTCGAAATAACAAGATGATTAATTTTTACAGTTACAGAAACTACTGTAAAATACCATAAATCCAATAAAAATGGTTCAAAAAGAACATAAATAACATCAAATATATTAAAAAAATCTTGCCATACACAAATAAATGAGTTCGAGAACTAAATTGACAAAAACATGTATGTCGTCCATCGCTGTAAGTATTTTATATAGCTCTGCAGCTACAGCCTGATGTGTATATTGTTATTATTATTCGCATTATGTAGTTAATATAGTATTAATTATATTAAAATTATAGTAACTGAAGATAGTTTGACCATTAAAAGACGTCATCAACAGGTCATTTAGTCTCCATTGTAGGAGAGAGGGTCCTCTCTAATTTACCAGGCAAATGGAGGATTTGGCCTACACTCCCCACGCTGGCCAGACGGGTTGGGGAGGCCTGATGTTCGCATATTTTTGTCCCTTAGTCGCCTTTCACAACTATAATGAAGTAAAAGTTTTACCAAAGATAATTAAATATTAAAAGTCCCTTTTTATGGTCAGATATTTTATTAACCAAGAAAAGTAGTTCCATTAAAGTGTTCACTTTTTGCCAGATATAAAAATATTTTTGTGATTATTAGACGTGTTATTTGTAAGGTAAGGCTTCCTGTATTTACTAAATCGATATAGATTTTTAAAAGCTTACATTTTGTACTTAAGTCACAACTTATACATTTTTGAAACTTATTAAAAACAAACCTGGTGGTTAAATATAATGATCGAGCGGCGACTCTTACCGCCAAAAAAATTTTAATAACCTGGTGGTTAATTTAGTAATGCTTCAAAATGTTGGTAAAAATCGGCACTAAATAACAAAAAAATACAGAAAATAATATTAAAAGAGTGGTCTATTTTCTTTGAGTACTCTGCCGGAACTACATGGCTAAATTATATACAGAAATAACTCTTCAAAATGTATAACATAAAATATCTAAAGGTAAGGAGTATTACATTGCACGATAAGTAGGTAAATAGGTACTAAGTGTGTGAGCTTAAGAATATTTCAGCAGGTTAGGCTTACAAAATATACGTAGAAAAATATTACGTATATACACCAAGAAAAATATTATTACAGAAAAATGTTAGCTGCATTTTTGGTCAATTTAATTATCTTCCATTATTTATTACATTAATTTTAGTCAGTTAAATAGATAAGTTAAATGTTTAATTAAATTTTAGGTAAAACATAATATTTCTTCCGACATTTTTGTGTATTTTAAATCATTTTCACAATGTGCCTGCTCACGACATTATAATATAAAAAATATTAGGGTTCCGTTTTTTGCCATTTAGCTATGGAACCCTAAAAATTTCTCATTATATTTTATAAGTAGGCAATGCTAAGAATAAAAAAATAATGATTTATATGAAACGTAATTAGTTAAAGCTTTTTTAGTTGTGACCAAGAAAACTAGAAAACGTTTTTTTTTATAATATCTTGCCATAAATTATGTTAAAAAAGACCCCCAGCAACAAATACTGGCTGTATCAATTTATTGGTTGTTGTTATGTATATTTATGATAATTTAAACGAACTGTTGTTTTTATTATAATACAAAATGACCAAATATTATTTAAAAATATTTTTTATTTATATTTCAAATGTTTTGTTGAAAACGTTTTGCTCAAAAATTTGTTTCGTTGAATTTTGGTACCAATTTTTGTATTAAGATAAGTTAGCGCATTTTAAACTGACGAAAGGTAACGAATAGATTTTTTTTATCTATCTGATATTTTTTAATAAAAAAATAAATAAACTTGAAAAGTCGTGTGATGTATCTACATTCAAATATTTTGTTACAAAAAAGTGAAATACTTACATAGCATTTGGTGGTTAATTTACTAACCACCAAGATTTGTGCTATTTTTATTTAATAGCAGTCAGGTTACTTCGTCACTTATTCGTCAGTTAAAAATAACGTAAAAGTGCTTAAATAAAAATAGTTAATTTCTTGTTATAAGTAAGTCTAAATACTATTACTACTTTTTTAGTGGTCAAATAGTACTACTTACACAGTATCCGTAACTCAATTAAATTGAAATAGATAGAAGTGGCTATTTCTTTTTTTCAAATATTTTAAACATTCATCGGAGAGCTTCCTATATAATTTTTGATCTTGATTTTTTGAAGTTCTTTTCTGTAGTTCCAAATTTGACCACTAGATGGCAGTACAAAAATCGATAAACTAAGATTAAGTTAGTTAATGGCTTTTAGAAGCAAGATGAGAGTAGTGATGCAAAGTGTTTAATACCTCCATGCTCAGCATACTGGCTGATTCGATAATTTTTTATAAAAAAAAGAAAAAAAGGAAAAAAAGCTGTCAATTGTTTTCACGTACTTCGCAGCTCGCTTTTTGTCTGTAACTCAATACAATTTTTCTGCGTCGTATCAAATCAAATATTATCATCGTCGTTTTCTTAGACCTACTGGTCAAACGTACTCCATATTTTTTGTGGTCATTTCGAGCACGAATAGCTCTTTGGATTCTACAGTCAATAAAAAACGCTCATCGAAAACTCTAAAATTTCCAGGTAGCACTTTTTAGCACGCCATTGTTAATTTCGTAAGTCNGTCGTATTGGCAATGTTCATGATCAATTCAATCTTTATTGTTTTACTTTTACGTTATTTAAACGTTGACTCAAGCAAACACAGTTTTACTTGTCAATTATATCGTAAAATCGTAATAATAACTCGTCATTTCACACTCATTTCCATCGTTGATAATTTAACATTTTGTCGTATTAGCAATATCCAAAATGGATGATGATTCAAAGTTAACTTTACTGAATACTCGTCGGGAGTATGTATTTCGTGAGATTCAAATATTGTACGATTTATCTCAACATATTACCACAGACAGGAGCAAACTTGCGATATTTAAAAGTCGTTTCAAGCGCATAGATGCTATTCGAACTGAATTTGTCGAAGTTACAGACGAAATAAACCGGTTAATTTTAACAATTAATCCAGACACACAAATTGATTACAAGAAGGTACAATCATTTGATTTGTTGTATTATTCCGTTGTTTCGGTGGCTGACGAGGTGTTGCCGTCGTTAGTGTCAAATTCTGCCGCGGCTGTGAGTAAGGTCAGTGACCTCGCGTCACCAAAACAATGTCCTCAGGTTCGTTTGCCAAAAATCGACCTACTAAAATTCGATGGTAANTGTTGTATTATTCCGTTGTTTCGGTGGCTGACGAGGTGTTGCCGTCGTTAGCGCCACAATCCGCCGCGGCTGCGAGTAAGGTCAGTGACCCCGCGTCACCAAAACAATGTCCTCAGGTTCGTTTGCCAAAAATTGAACTACCAAAATTCGATGGCAATCTTGAGTTATGGCGAACATTTTATGACACATATCTTTCTTTAATTCATGAAAACGCAAACCTCAGTACTATTGAGAAATATCATTATTTGCTTTCTTGTCTCACTGGATCTGCATTGTCAATAGTTAAAAGCATACCATTAATTGCTGATAATTATGAAATTGTCTTCAACGCATTGATTGAAAGATATGATAACAAAAGAATTTTAGCTGTCAATTACTTGGAAAAAATATTTAATTTCACACCTTTGAAAACAAATAGTTTCAGTGAATTGCAAAAGTTAACTAACTTACTAGTAGAATCTGTTAATGCTTTAAAAGCAATGAAAATTTCAAATTTGGGTGAATTTATTTTGTTCTATCTTGCATCCAAGAAATTAGATTCTCAAACCCGTGAGCGTTTTGAGAGTGAGAACTTTAAGGTTGGAAATATAGTACCTGAGTTTGAAGACTTAAAAACTTTTTTGTTAAATTACATCAAAATTTTAGAAGCCTGCGGTCGTTCTACCAAAACAAACAATTTTCAAAACTCAAATTCTAAGCAGGGCCAGGGTGCAAAACCTAAAACAAATTATAATCAAAAATCTTCTTCTTTTCCTATTGATTCGGGATTGTGTTCAGAGACAGGGTCGAACTCATGCACAGGGCCGTATTTGACTTCTGATGATCACGGGAAGGATTGTAATTCTGAACCAGACTTGAACGCAGGGGTGTATTCAGCATCAAATAAATTCCCTGACTGTTCATGTTGTGGTTATTCTCATCATTCTATTTACAAATGTCCAGTTTTTCATGGAATGNTTCTAAGCAAGGTGCAAAACCTAAAACAAATTATAATCACAAATCTTCTTCTTTTCCTATTGAATCGGGATTGTGTTCAAAGACAGGGTCGAACTCATGCACAGGGCCGTATTTGACTTCTGATGATCACGGGGAGGATTGTAATTCTGAACCAGACTTGAACACAGGGGTGTATTCAGCATCAAATAAATTCCCTGACTGTTCATGTTGTGGTTATTCTCATCATTCTATTTACAAATGTTCAGTTTTTCATGGAATGTCAACCATTGATAAATTAAGTTTTTTATACTGGACCGAAACTACAGAATGACGTTGTTGATATTATCACAGCACTTCGGCTGGATGGTATAGTTTTTACAGCTGACATATCTAAGATGTACAGAAATATTGATCTGCGTCCCGAGGACAGACAATATCAACATATATTCTGGAGAGACTCACCGGAAGAGACTGTGAGTGAATTTGAATTAAACACTGTGACTTACGGTGTGAGTAGCTCACCTTATCTGGCTATTCGTACACTTCATCAGTTGGCTCAGGATCATGGTGAGCAATGGCCTCGTGCAGCAACTGCATTGCTCAAAGACGCCTTTATGGATGATATCGTGGTGACAGCTCCGTCGGTGGACGTTGCCTTAGAAATAAAAGACGAGCTAATAAACTTACTCGATTGTGGAAAATTTGAGCTGCGTAAATGGAGCAGTAATTCTCTTGATTTTCTTTCACATCTTCCAGCTGATCATCGTCAAACACCTAAAGCGTTTTGTGATAAAGAAAATCAATGTACACTCAAAATTCTGGGCATTCAGTGGGACCCACTCAATGACAAGTTTACTTACACTCATTTAGAAATGAACCCGGCTTGTACCAAGCGGATTGTTCTCTCGAGTGTGGCAAGAATTTATGATCCACTCGGATGGCTAACGCCAGTGGTATTATTGGCCAAGATGTTTATACAAGAACTGTGGCGTCTACAACTGGACTGGGACGAACCAGTTTCTACTGAAATGTTACAGAAATGGCAAGATTTCGTACGAAAACTGACAAAGGACATCATCCATTTTGGTCCAAAATCAAAAGTGCCGGCCAAAAAATAAATGTGCTGTATTCTGATAGAATACGTCCGCCTTAGCATTTATTACTATGGCACCAAAGCTGTAGCACCACTGTGCATCGTAGTATTTGAGCTCTAAAAATATATGAAACGACTGACTTTGATCTCAAATACTACGATGCACAGTGGTGCTACAGCTTTGGTGTCATAGTAACAAATACTAAGGCGGACGTATTCTGTCAGAATACAGCACTTTTTTTTTTATTGGCCGACATTTTTGATTTTGAACAAAAAATGTATGAATCGTCGATGAATTTTAGATCTCAAATACTCGACACACAGTGGTGCTACAGCTTTGGTGCCATAGTAACAAATGCTAAGGCGGACGTATTCTGTCAGAAGACAGCACTTTTTGTTATTGGCCAACACTTTTGATTTTGAACAAAAAATGTATGAATCGTCGATGAATTTTAGATCTCAAATACTCGACGCATAGTGGTGCTACAGCTTTGGTGCCATAGTAACAAATGCTAAGGCGGACGTATTCTGTCAGAACACAGCACTTTTTTTTTTATTGGCCGTCACTTTTTATTTTGAACAAAAAATGTATGAATAATCGATGACTTTTAGATCTCAAATACTCGACGCACAGTGGAGCTACGGCTTTGGTGCCATAGTAACAAATGCTAAGGCAGACGTATTCTGTCAGAATACAGCACTTTTTTTTGTTGGCCGGCTCTTTTGATTTTGGACCAAAAATATATGAAACGTGGATGATGTCCTTTATCTAGTATCAGTATACCTCGGCAAGTAGTTCACTCTACTACATGGTTGAATACAGCACCACACAAATTAAAAATGTTCGTTGCTCACAGAGTCGTAAAAATTACGGATGATCTCAGTGTTGATAACTGGAAGCACGTAGCAACGCATGATAACCCTGCGGATTTATGCAGCCGTGGATTTCGCTGTTCCCAGCTTGTTTCTCACCAAGTTTGGTGGCATGGTCCTGCTTGGCTTGTGACTGAGAAATCGTTGTGGCCCGTGCAAACTGATATCAGCCCTCCAGATATTGTACCCGAATTGAAACCGGCGGCTTCTCATACCTTAACTGCGTCAAAGGAAACTAATATTGATGCGATTAGCGAGCTCGTGGAAAGATCTTCATCCTTTTTACGTTCTCAGCGTGTTCTCGCATGGTGCCTTCGGTTCATCGGCAACTTGAAAAAGAAAAGGGACGACCGTGAACATAACACGGATTTGACTACCACGGAACTTGAGAGCTCACTGGTTGTTCTTATTCATAATGAACAGAGACGCCATTTTTCTGAAGTCCTGGACTCTTTTGCTACCAACTCCAGTTCCAGATGTAACAAATCGCTGCTCAAGCTCAGTCCATTCCTTGATGAAGCTGGATTACTGCGTGTGGGGGGGCGTTTGCGTAATGCGCAGCTTCCATTAACAGCGATTCACCCATTTCTGCTTCCGAAGCACTGTCATTTGTCGAAGCTAATTATTGATCACTACCACCGGGTATACTTACACTGTGGGCCGCGTGTCCTTCAGTCCTTGGTACAAAGAAAATACTGGATTCTTGGTATTCGCAATATGATAAGATCCAGACTTGCGAAATGTGTCACATGCTTCAAGGTCAAGCCATCACCAGCACAGCCCTTGATGGGAGACCTTCCAGGTCCGAGAGTACAACCAGCTCGTTGTTTTCAAAATATTGGAATAGATTTCGCCGGACCTTTCACTGTCAAAGAAAGCACTAGACGTAACGCTCGCACTTATAAGGCTTACGTTTGCATTATGGTCTGCTTGGCAGTTAAGGCTGTTCATTTGGAGCTTGTTACTGACTTGTCGACTCCAGCTTTTATAGCAGCCCTTGATAGGTTTGTTTCACGCCGTGGACTGTGCAGGCTCATAATCAGTGACTGTGGTAGAAATTTCATAGGAGCGAAACGGTATCTTAACGAAACTCAAAGGTTTCTGTTAGAAAATCAATCCGATCTGGATAAAGATTTCACTGAACGTGGCATTGTATGGCAACTAAATCCGCCAACGGGCAGCCATTTTGGTGGTATATTCGAGAGCGGCGTTAAGTCAATGAAATACCATCTTAAACGCGTAGTCGGCCTTCAGATTCTCACCTTCGAGGAGCTCACGACGGTTCTTACTAAGATTGAAGCCGTTCTTAATTCACGGCCGCTATGCTCGATCTCTTCAGATCCACGTGAGGTTGATATTCTGTCGCCTGGTCATTTTTTGGTCGGCGGACCGTTAGTTTCGTTACCGGAACCGAATCTTGACGACGCTTACTTACCTCCTCGCAAAAGGTGGCAATTAATACAGAAGTTAACTCAAAGATTTTGGCGCATTTGGTCGCGTGATTACTTGCATACATTGCAACAACGGAATAAGTGGTTTCAAAATAAGCCTAACGTTAAACTTGACGACATTGTTATCATAGTCGAACAAAACTTACCACCTTTGGAGTGGCGTTATGGTAGGGTAGTAGAGCTACATCCGGGAGCAGATAATGTAGTGCGCGTAGTTACGCTCCGAACGGCAACGGGTATTCTTCGTAGGCCGGTTACAAAAATTTGTCCATTGCCTATTAATAGTTAAGTTTTTTCCCGCTTTGAGGTGTATAATAATAATATGTATATAGGTCTAGGAAGTTTTGTTTTAGTTTCCTAATTAATTCATTCATTAATTTTGTTTTAATGCAAGTACTTATCCTTGCGACTTTTAAGTTGTTGCTAGAGTGCAATATAATTTAATTTTCACTGTCTCTGTAAGAATGCGTGCAGTGTTTTATTATTTCTTCTTTTCCTCTTGAAGAGGTTTAATTTACTTTTTTTTGAAATCCCTAAGTGATTTCAAGTGGGGGGGTATGTTTAATACCTCCATGCTCAGCATACTGGCTGATTCGATAATTTTTTATAAAAAAAAGAAAAAAAGGAAAAAAAGCTGTCAATTGTTTTCACGTACTTCGCAGCTCGCTTTTTGTCTGTAACTCAATACAATTTTTCTGCGTCGTATCAAATCAAATATTATCATCGTCGTTTTCTTAGACCTACTGGTCAAACGTACTCCACAAAGTATTGTGATTTAATTAATAAAATGAAGGTTATTATTAACATTGTGTTTGATTAATTATTTAAGTCCCTACCAACATGAGATAACCAACCAGTTATCCTTTAGGTTGATTGGTAACTTCATCATCATCATTTCAGTCACAGCACGTCCACTGCTGAACATAGGCCTCCCCCAATGACTTCTATCCATATCGCCCGGTAAGTAGCGGCTTGCATCCAGCGCCTTCCTGCTATCTCTATGAGATCGGTCCACCTTGTGGATGGACGTCCCACGATTGGTAACTTAGAAGATTAATTTAAAAGACAAAGAGAGTTAGCAGCTCAGTTTTGTCCCGGTTTCTGAAAGGGGGATATGGTAAAAAAAAGTCATTTCTATTAGTGACGTAGATTGGTCACGCAAACGCAGACGAAACCTCGAGCAAAAGTTAGTGAAAAAACTTGCGTCATTGCGTTGCAAGCATCAGAAGAATAAAAGTAAAAAAAAAGTTCTGCCACTGTCATTTTTCCACAATAATGTCAAAATTCCCGTCCAAATTTTTCAGAGAAATACTAAATTAGAAATTAAATTACTTTAATAAATTCTAAATTCCAGTGATTTCTATCATGTGATAATATAAGCTCAAAAATATTATCAAAGCTAAATTTACTGTGTTACCTATGTACTTTTACTTCAACTACCACCAAAGAAGAAGAAATGAAACTTCATCATCAAATCTAGTTGTTTTATAACTTGTAGTAAATATTTATCAAGGGACACTCTTTACTCTGGATTATTAAGTTAAGCATCTACCTTGACACCTACGGCACCTACGCCTTCACCCTCGTGAACAAACTCTTATTTCTCCATACAAACTTTGGACCCCCGTTTCATCCCTTTAGGATTTGAATTGTGGGTAATCCTTTCTTAGCGGATGCCTTGTGCGTGCCTTTCAGCGCAATCCGTTTTGTACTTTGAGTTGTGTGTTGATAGTCAGTCAATAACGGTTGGATTGTATAGAGAGAAGAAAAGAAGAAGAAGGAAATATATTAATAAGTCTAAGAACTTTTGAGATGACAATATGCCTCCTGTAAAGATTCCACCCAATTTGACGTTAACAATCGATGCCCATAAGAAATGGCTGACGTTACTAGATGAAGCTAAGGAGTTGGTAGATGAAGATATTGATTTACAGGTAAGTTTCTGAAGAAATGTTAATATAAGAAACTAGCGGCCGCTCGCGACTTTGTACGTTCCCGTTTTACCTTCTTAGGAGTTGAATTTTGCAAAATCCCGTCTTAGTGAGCACCTACGTTATAAAAGGAACCCCCATGCAAAGAGACTCCTAGCACTTGTAGTTTATGAGATTTCGTGATGAGTGAGTCAGTCAATCAGCGACCTTTCGCCTTTATAGATAATAAGATTTGCTTGAAAGAGAAACTTTAAAATGTCTTTAACCGTAATAACTTGCTAAATACTTGACAAGAGAAAGAGACAAAAAAGAGTATCAAGCCAAAGTTATAGACGAAGCAAACTTGGCCTTCACTGGTTGGGTTTTTATTGGTGTTCAAGGTGTAGATCCTGGCTTCACAGGAGTTGCAGCGGTGGGAATAGTCCCATTAGAAAAATATATTTTCGAGAGAAATATTTTTGGCTTTTCTAAGGGTAATGTAACAAAATTCATTCATAATAGACAGAGAAGTTAAAAATGTTAGAAGAAGATAGCACAACTCGAGTAGTAGACATATGAAACAAAGAAATACCTTTTGAAACACATCTACCTGTGATTTCCGTCTTGTCTTCAAAAGGTGACAGAAATTATTATTTACTTTCCACCAAATGATACTTTTAAAACACACTGTAAACTTACTGTCTAAGATTTTAGATTCAAATCGAAATCAACTGAAGAAATTCAGTTGAATTAGATAAGTATACCTAGATCGTGTCATCTACGAAGACGCGTGGTCGAGGTTAGCGCGGGGTGCGGGGAGTTTGATCCGAGCAATCCGAGCGTCATTATTGTAGTGTGCGTGTGCACTCGTGGATAATTTAGCGTGTACTGATAACACTCAAACATTAGCGGAAGAACGGTGAGGCGCGTCTTCGTGGATGACACGATCTTTAATCTTGCTACTGTCTGTACTTTTTCCTCCAAATCCAGGAGAAAGCAGCCAAAGGCCTCCGTCTGAAAGACAGGAACCTCCCAGCCGAAGTCCTAGGCCGCAACTATGCGCAGTACTGTGACGTCATCAACCGAATGTACGACTCGTATCTGAACAATGTCCACCTCCAGAGGGCGCCGTATATGCTGCAGATCATCAGCGTGCTTTTAAAGAGGTAATGACATCACCAGCATGCAGCATCATCAGGTCTTTTAGTTTTGCAGGAGCACGACCCTCTAATTTAGTAGGCAAATGGAGGTTTTGTCCTACACTCCCCACGCTGGCCAGACGGGTTGGGGAGGCCTGACATATGCATACTTATTTGTCCCTTAGTGACTCGCTTTCAACTACATCCACCGGAAGAATAGGATAGTTTTAGAAGTCCTTGAGGCTTTATCCAGCACTAGTCGTGTTTTGGTAGAAACGATGGTCTAATAACTTCCAATTTGAACTCTTACTTAGTTAGATAATGGTTCCAGATTATACGAGCTACGCAACGAGATAGTCCATCTGATCGTGAACGACTACATCTATGTAGACAGTGGCTTGATACAGTACAGACTGACTCCGGATCAGATTCAGGTAATCATCCGATGACGTGTCTAACTGAGGTATCGGATACTCAAACCTAATAAATTTTTTTGCCTGTAAGACTAAAATAGTAAGACACGGGTCTTAACCCTTAAGCTTGTGTTACGTGTGGGCTCACCACAATAGTCGAGCGGCGCGGCGCCGGCGGTGGGATTCGAACCCGCGTTCCATTCAAAATAATAAGTTCAAAGAAGTTGTTCATACGTCACACTTTACAACATTTAAAATCTACTGTCATCTCTTTTTCGCTTCAGTAAGTCAGGTACCTCCAATTCCAGATAGTGATCCCATACCACTTCCCTCTGGAATGCCGAAACGAATCCACCGAGCAATTATTGCAAAAGATGTGGGCTGAATCTTACAAAAGAAAGAACGCTCCTCCCAAAAAGGTAACATTCACGAAGTTTTTATTTTTCTAGTCCTAGTTTGATAAAATATTACACCTTCATAATTATAATAAAATATGACATTCACAGTAAGGTCATTAAAATTTAGTCTCTGACTCTTCACTGTAGGTTCATGGCTCTGTCTAATTTACCGAGCAAACCAAGTCTGTCCGTGTACCTATGACCCTTTTACGATTAAGTTACTGAACCTAAAAACAACATTGTTTTTGGCAAAACAGGATAATTTTATCCCGGATTTCACCTCATGCATCATCATGATAACCAAAGCAAAATGATAGCGTAGTATAGAAATAATGGTAGGACATACCAATAGGTACCTAGTCTTTCTATTCAATAAAATAATAATTAAAATCCTCAGGAAAAACCATCAAAAGCAGCCAAGAGTGGGATGTTCTCAGAAACAGATGTGCAGGAAGCGGCATCAGAGTCGTCAGAAGAAGAAGAAGATGGTAAGTATCTATGGAAACCATCTTTATGGCAAAATAAGACTAAAAGAAACTCATTGGAGTATTGACTCTATAAATGCATGAAGCAACTTAACGCCGTTGTATAATATTAGAAAATTATTGAAAAGAACATACCGACTACAGCATACTAACTACCAGATATATTACTGATTTCAGAAGGACGTAACGTAAATTTTTCAGAGATATACATATAGCTTAAAAAGTATAGAGACTGTTATTGTCAGAATTTATTTACGTTAGCATAAGCGTCACTAATAACGTGTCCATAAATGAAGATTTTATTTCTTGTGTATCAGTTTCAGAGGAAAGTGTTCATACGGTGATACCAGAAGAATACATCCAGGCAAACATAATACAGGCCCATGAAAGATTCAGGTAGGTAATCGAAATATTTTGTTTCAAATATTAAATCTTTTGTTTTTCTTGTCGGTTAATGTCTACCGAATAAAGGGCACTTGAGTTTCTGAGGGGCTAGTGTGAGTTTACATCAAACGCGCTCACTAGTGAGTGCGTCAAAAAATGACATTAAATGTATAACGGATTGTACAGCGACCCTAGCGGGAAACGTTCAAAAACTCACACTCAGCCCATAGTATAGGCCTTTTACTTGTTGGACCGACGATCTGGTGAAGGTTGCGGGAAGCACTTGGATACGGGCAGCGATTTTGTCCAGCTGTACGTTCTGTTGATGATGATGATGATGATGATTTTCTTTCAGACAATGGTACATTGCTGACTACAGATCGAAATGTAACAGACGGAAAACATATTTCGCGGACAAAGTTCAAGAGGCGCCATTGGAAATGAAAATCAAGGCTGCCACACTAATTCAGAAAATATACAGGTAAGAAAAAAGAGATGGAAAGAGAGAAAGATAAGATAAGGGAAATAAGTAGATAACAAATACTGTTTTATTATCCACTAGCTGTGCCCGCGACTTCGTAAGCGTGACAACCCGTTTTCGCAACATTTTTCATTGTTGCTCTGCTCCTATTGATCGTAGCGTGATGTTGTATAGCCTATAGCCTTCCTTGATAAATGGGCTATCTAACACTGAAAGAATTTTTCAAATCGGACCAGTAATTCTGGAGATTAGCGCGTTCAAGTAAACAAACAAACAAACTCTTCAGCTTTATAATATTAGTATAAACACAGAATAATAATAAGTACTACGTACAGAAGTTTTACTTCGCGAAGGTATTTAAAAAAATGTATGCTCAATGTCATTAACAATATGGTGTAATTTAGCCTGTCTCAAGAGTCAAGCACCATTTTGTTGACAAACGTCAGTGATCGGCACTGCGCCGAAGCTATAGGGCTGACTTCGGTAAAATGATGTGACGTGAGGTGCCAAACTGCGGAAAATGGCGGAGGAAATACATGATTTAGCATGAATTATCATGAATAATAACTACTTATTTACCTCTCAGTGTCTTGAGGCAACTTAAAAAAGTACATTCTGTGTTTTTACTGCACATATTTAGTACACCATTTTCTTTATTTTCTTCCATCATACACAAGAATACGCGTGCGTGAGTCAATGTACGCTCGTATGTAAGGCCTTGTCGAATAGTATCCTGTAGGTGGGCCATCGTGCGTGTTTTGTTTTTGATGTAAACTCGCGGAGATGAACAGGCCTGGTATAAATTCTATCACTGTTCACTCGGGACCATTAATTTGATTGTTTTTAGTGCGTAAAAATGTTAAAGGGGGTGAATTTCATCCTATGGGGAAACAATAATTTCCTACTTAGGGTTATTTTAAAAACCAACTTTACTTTTGGAAACAAATGTTTCTGGAATGCACATGGGATGTCAAGATACTACTGATCACGTTGAGTCTTCTTGTGTTCTTCCTATCACTTTCTTTTCAGGGAATTTATGAAGGTAAAGAGACAGCGAGTGGTGGATACAAGAAAGGATATGATGCTGGGACTCATCCCCAACCCTTGGGCGGATTCTTTGCACTTTGAAACAGAGAACAATAAAGTAATAATAACTATATTATATATATAAAAGAAAGTCGTGTTAGTTACTCCACTTATAACTCAAGAACGGCTGAACCGATTTAGCTGAAAATTGTCAGGGAGGTAGTTTAGAGCCAGGAGAAGGACATAGGATACTTTTTATCCCGTATTAAGGCGGAACAAAGTTCGCCGGGTCAGCTAGTTTGTAATAAATAAAGAATCTCACCAAATCCCACCGTTGCGGGTCCAATGACAGTTGACCCCGGAACAAACTTGACCTTCACTGGTTGGGTTGTAGGCGGTCAAGCTGTAGATCCTGGGTACACAGGAGTGGCAGCGGTGGGAACGAGAGGTGGGAATACTCCCGTAATCCCACTAAAAGTATTCATGTAAAGTGTTGCCAAGATACCCATATGGTCCGCATTGTGAAAAAAATTTTAGAACGCATGTAAAGCCAAGTTCTAATCACTCTATACCTTAGTAAAAATAATATGTGACACGGCCAGTACTTACAACCTGATCGAGTTTACTGCGTACCTGGCTGCCGTGACGTCATACCGACGATCTGGTACTGACGGAGCGAACGCGGGCAGGTGTGCGGGTGAGTGCGAAGGAGAGTCGTATTCCAGCTAAGTGCGCAGTTATTGACCGGGGAGCAGTAGATAGGTACGTAGATGCTATTTTTTAAAGCTTTTTCCCATTTTCGACCCAGATCTACGAGAGACGACGCAAAACAAGAACGAAACTACAAGGGATATTCCTAAAGGAGCTGGAGAAAGAGAAGATCCGACTGCTAGTATTCAAGAAAGAGAACCAGATCGATGACATCACGGAACAAGTCAGGGTCTGGTTTAGAGAATGGTATGTACCATAAAGTAGAGACAGAGAAGTAGAGCATTTAAAAATATTAAACCTAAGGCAGGTCACATAGGTCGTAGAGCTGATGGCCGCTGGAGCAGAAAAGTTCTCAAATGGCAACCACGGGCCAGAAGACTTAAAATCTATCTTGTTTTGTTGTTACAGTGATTTGGGAGAAACTAAAGGTATGTATCATAATTGTTTCTAAGGTATAAATTAAATTTAATTTCAAAAATGATTATACCTAGTTAACCTCTTTTATGTGAGCAGGCCTCCCTAGGTGGACCGACGATCTGGTGAAGGTAGTGGCAAGTACCTGGACTGGATGGGGACGGTCCTGGAGGAGGCCTTTGTCCAACAGTGGACTTCATTTGGTTTGTGGGAACGGCTGAAGAAAGAGATAAATAGAAAGACAGAGAGAGTGAATATTATAGTCGTTATTTCCAGGTACTACGGATACGGATTCTTCCCGGAGTTCCCTTATGACGTAGAAGGGGGCACCATGATGGTCATCAGGGGCGACTACCCGACCATCCAGGAGAAGAAGGATGAAGATGAGAAGTACTTAGCTGCTACCAAGGGGAAAACGAAAGAAATGGTTTGAAAGAACTCTTGATAAGGTGTACTTTGCTATCCATTCACATACCAAAATGGGTTTTATAAAATTAATCTGACATTGTATCACATACGTCTGTCTGTGGCATCGTAGCTCTCGAAACGGATTTATACGAATTATACGGATTTATACGGATATTTAAACGGATATTTCTATTTGGAGAGCGATTTCATCAAGGCGATCTCGTAGCTATAGTTTAATCGATTCAGCTGCATGCTGCATTAGCTTTTTTTTTTTTCGAATGAGGGGAAAGTGAGCATGGTTCACAGGTCTAATTTACTTAGAAAGGTGAGCAGCCTGAGACGGAGCCACGTGGTAAGTTCGGTAAGCTTACGTCCGAACCGAAATAACGCAAAAATCAAAATCAAAAGTATTTATTCAGTTTAGACCACAAGTGGCACTTATAAACGTCAAAATATTATTATAGAAAATAATAAAAAAATAAAAGGTAGCCCTTATGGGGCACTTTACATGTCTCCTTATCTTTTGGGCCCTACCAGCGCTTCGAGACAAACATAATATGGCAAGTGCTGAGAAGAAACGCCGGAACAAACTCAGTCACCACTAATTGCCAGGAATTATCTAACGGTAAGAATAACCAAATTCGAGTACATCAAATATGTACAGACTGAACTGACCACGCATCCTTGTCATCAATATAGTTTCGAACGTTGTAGTACCCTTTGGACATATAAGGGTATTTTTTATTTGTATCTTAAATTTGTTTATTGGCAACTCGACAAGGTTGTGTGGTATTTTGTTAAATATGGCAATGTCACAAGACACAAAGATGGCCAGTATATGTTGTGATGACACAGAACGGAAACGTGGTAGGCCTCAAAGAAGTTCAAGGTCATCTAGAGGGTGAACCCTTGCTAAGCTAAATCTAATTAATTCTTCTGTAACACTCTGTACTTCTTCAGCTAAAACAAGAGAAACAGCAGGCGAAAGCAGACGCTTTGATGAGAGCCGAGATGGCGAAAGAAGCGGCGAAGAAGGAAGCAGAACAGCTGTTGAAGTTGCGATGTAATCCCATGTCCGATCCTGGATATGAAGTCAAGACATCAGAGCTGAAAGGGAGCTTGCTTGAGGTGAGTTCGTTCGATCATCATCAGCATCATTTCAGCCACAGGACGTCCACTGCTGAACATCCTCCCCCAATGACTTCTACATCGCCGGGTTGGTAGCGGCCTGCATCCAGCGCCTCATTCGTTCATTTCAGCCAAATGACGTCCACTGAACAAATGTCTCCCCATGATTTCAACAACGACCGGTCCTGCGCTGCCCGCGTCCAGGCACTTCCCGCGACTTTCACCAGATTGTCAGTCCACTAACTTGTTGGTATAGGTGAGGTGAAGATGAAGAATTACAGGTCTAGCGCTTGACTTTGTCAATGCCTGAGGCACGGAAGCGGCATGCGAAGACGTGACTTATGACGTCAGAGCATACATATACCCCCTTATTAATAAAAGTTACACCCAAGTTGAACAATTTTAACCAAATCAAATCAAACAATCATTTATTGTGTTAGTAATCCAGAGTTCATCCTAGGTGTAACTTTTTATTAATAAAGAGGATAGTCTGAAGGACATCTGAACGCTGTTCTCTCTCGCTGACGTTTGATGTCATAAAAACACCCTCCCGTGCACACAGCTATGCGCTACTAGACTTATAATTTAACCTCTACCCGGCCAATCTGGAAATGATTTGAGAAGGTCTATGTTCAGCAGTGGAAATCCTGTGGCTGAAATGATGATGGATGACGATTCATATTTACAAAATCTTTTAGGCTTTCCAAAACTACCGCGCGGCCTGGTCCATCTACGACAGGTTTCCACCTGACACGTGCGCTGACGTGGTCTACGGGTACATCCACGGGCTGCTGACGGAAGAACTGATGTGTCAGTTACATAAGGATGCCAGGAAATACGTGGATGAGCTCATGAGGTATGTATGTAGGGTCAGCTGTGCCCATGTGACAGTTTAGCTTTCCTTCGGGACAAACTTGGCCTTCACTGGTTGGGTTTATTGGCAGTCAAGCTTTAGATCCTGGATACACAGGAGTTGCAGCGGTGGGAATAGTCCCGTAGTTGTGCCCATGGCAAATTGTTTTCTAGACCAATTATGGTGAACATACTCATATTATGTGACTGTAGGACCCAGTAGCGAGTTATGGGATACTCCCAAAAGTTCTTAATTAAGTAAAAAATGACAAGCTCAAGCTTAATTTAGAAACCGGGGGTTGGTCCAGTGAAGATTGTGATACCTCTGCACACAAAATAAGCGAAACCTGGACTTTTTTGGTGATGTGGAAGTTATTGGGGGATACCTATTCAGCAGTGGAAATCCTGTGGCTGAAATGATGATGATGATTATAGGCTTAAAAGATCTTTTAACACTTTTTAGGATAGACCTAAAGCTGCTGATCAAGGCGCAGCAAATAATGTACAAGGAGGTGGGCTGGAAGTTTCCTAAGATGAGGACCAGGCCCAAGCCCAAGAAGCCTTCGGTGCCCAAGCCCTTGGTCGTGGATAACGCACTGCTGAAGGAGTTTGAGGTAGGTCTATTGTCGATATACGAGTATGTACCTGCTCTTAGTGACTGAATATTTCTGTCTCTTCCCACCACCGCATTTTGTGAGTCTAAACCTTAATAATAATAAAATCTATCATAATATAATAATGCTGGATACAAGGCATGTTAATTATTATAGAGATAATAACTTAGCTTCCTCTAGTTTCAATTAATGAAAATCTCATAAGTAGCCACTGACAACCTACAGCTTGAATACCAAGAGCATGGAATTATTCGCATTAGATGCGACGAGTACCTATAGTGGAAATTGCTAGAAACTGTCCTTTTTCTTTTTAAAATATTTCATAGATGCGGCAAGTCTGGTCAAATATCACCATACTGTTTGACATCAACCTATGACTTCGCTCCTTCAATATTCGGACAAATCGTTTTGGAGTGAGGACCTCATTGCTTAGAAACTATTTATTTCCTTTCCAGGAGGTTTTCGACCTAGGCATCATCAGCAAGCCTACAGCCAAGATGAAGGATGTGTACGGTGACACCAACTATGCTGCCTACGACCTCAACATACGGGACCCCAATGCAACGTAAGTTTTCGAGGAGTTTTAGGAGCCTTTTTTTAGCCTGTAATTATCTCCTCTAGTGGTTAGAGTTACATAGTTGGACTATATAGTACAGGGTTTGATTCGCAGGACTCACAAATTGTAAGTGACAAAATAGCCCAAGGTATCAGCATTAGAGTGTCCATTTGAAAGGTATAGGTCTATCGCTTGACTCAGCCAGTGCCTGAGATATGGAAGCGGCACGGGAAGTTTTTGTAACGTGAAAATTAAATGTCAGCGAGACTTCAGATCTAATTCAGGTTTATATTATCTTCTGTCACGTCACAAAAGTAAACTTCGCTCCTCCCGTGCCGCCCCCATACCGCAGGCACTGACTGACCTTCAACTAGTTAGGAACCTTACGGAGCTGGTCTATTGTGGTGGACTCACGCTTAGCACAAGCAAACTCTTAGCTAAAAAGGGTGACTGGAATACCACAAATTCAGTCTAGTTCGTCTAGTTTCGATCTTCACCTCTTTTCCTCCTCCCAGATTCCCCCCACCAGGATACGGGGACATAAAGAACCGCGTCACCCTCTCCTGCATCTACGGGATCGGGATGGACCCTGGCGCCACCAGGAACAAAGCCGTCATGCTGATGGGACCCCCCAGGAATGGGAAGAGCTTCCTGGTTGATGTGGTAGCTGGGGAACTGAGTAAGTGTTCATTAATATTCAACTATAGTCTGGTCTGCGAGCACGTAGAATTTTGTCCAATAACCCCAAGCTATCCATCCTTATCGCTCGCGCGTAATTATGTTGCTGTCGCGCTCGCACACTCACTGCGGGCGCCCGTCGCACAGTCGCGACAGCAATATAATTACGCGCGAGCAATAAGGATGGATAACTTGGGGTCATTGGACAAAATTCTACGTGCTCACAGACCGGGCTTACACAAAGGTGATTGAGTTTCTTCGCCACTTCTCAGCACCAACCCATATGTTGTCCCGAAGTGGTGGTCGGGCAAGCTATATTTGGGACGTGTATAAGTGCCCTGGAAAGAGCCTATGTACTGAATAAACTATTTGAATTTGAGTTAACTAAATCAAAACTAAAACAAGAATTCCACAGCACCGGTCATTGTGGAATTCTTTCCCATTTCCCGTCAAGATCATCGGTCCATCTATTGGGGGGTTTACCGATACTTCCGACCCGTGGTCACAACTTTTCGTTTCAGTCAAATGATATCCACTACTAGACAAAGGCCTTCTCCAAGGACTTCCTTATCGACAGGTCCTGCGCTGCCCGCATCCAGGTACTTCCCGCGACCTTCACCAGATCGTCGGTCCACCTAGTAAGGGGACCTGCTCACACTACGTCGTCCAGCCCGTGGTTAAAGTGATTGATATACCTAGCTTGCAGAATTGCTAAAACCAAGTGGCAGTGGCAGATAGCTCGTAGAGCTGACTTATTGCTTAAGGTAATTTTGCAATGGAGGGAAGTCGAACTTCAACTTCGAACTCCTATGTTCTTCTGATTATTTCGTCGCGTTTAATGACAGTTAAACTTTCCCCCGGGACAAACTTGACCTTCACTGGTTAGGTTTTTATTAGCGGTCAAGCTGTAGATCCTGGCTACACAGGAGTTGCAGCGGTGGGAACGAGAGGTGGGAATAGTCCCGTTATGGTTATTTTAACAGTTGTTAAGACAAAGTGCCATCATCTTAAATATTTTTCTACAGAAGCTGTGAAGATCGACATCACTCCAGAGGTGTTCAGCGCTGTCCTGGAGAAGCCAGCCAAGGTCCTGACCCAAGTCTTTCAAATCGCAAAGGTGTTCCAACCTGCTGTCATATACATGAGGAATGTGGAAAGAGTTTTCGCTAAAAAGGTGAGTTTACCCTCATATTGCTTGAGATTTTATATTATAACGTGATAACGTGACAATTTTGATTCTCAAAATAAGTTTCGTGCAACCATTTCTCATACAAGTTCACTTTACGACACGTTCACAAGGGCGCTGTTGTAGTTTTCGTACTAAATCTTTTGATGGCGATTCGAATACGCAAACGATTCGAACTCGAAAGTTTTTCGTGCTAGTGGTACTGAGCTCTATTCAACGCTGTGCGTTCGATTTGCTGCTTCACTTATGCAAGCATCGTTGTGCCTAAAACATGGGAGCGGCACGTGAGGGTGTTTTTGTGACGTCAAACGTCAGCGAGACTTCAGATCTCCTTCAGATTTGTATGCTCTATCACGTCATAATATGTCAGTGTCACTCCTCCCGTGCCGCTACCATGCCTCAGGCACTGATTGAGTTAAACGCTATCGTTAGTTTCAGCCGAAAGACGTTCACTGCTGGACAAAGGCCTCCCCCATGGATTTCTACCAAGACCGGTCCTAAGCCGCTCGCATCCAGGCACCTCCCGCGACCTTCACCAGATCGTTGGTCCACCTAGTGGGAGGCCTGCCCACGCTACGTCCGGCTCGTGGTCGCCACTCAAGAACTTTCCTGCCCCAGCGGCCATCAGCTCTACGAGCTATGTGCCCCGCCCACTGCCACTTGATTTTAGCGATTCTGCGGGCTATGTCAGTCCCTCTGGTTCTCCTACGGATCTCCTCATTTCTGATTCAATCACGCAGGGAACCGTTATAGCTGTATGGTTGCAAACATTACTGTATCTGGATGTTTCTAGCAACATGTTCCGACCCGTTTTCTTTCCAAATCCTCCATTCGTCATCATCATCATCATCTCAGCCATAGGACGTTCACTGCTGAACATAGGCTTTTCCAAAATGCTTTCCATGCTGCCGGATTGGTAGCGGCCTGCCTCCTCTGGTAAATTAGAGAGTCGTGCTCCTGCAGTGGAGACTAAATGACCTGATGATGTTGAAAGAGGTTTTAAATGCGGTTAAATAATCAAGTTGCAGTGATGACGAGAGGTGGGGTCATGACGTCATAGGCACCGCCCTCAAAACGGCACTAATGTAACTAGCATCTTAAGTGATGATAATGTGTCAAACAAATTATATTATAAGGTCTAGCATTCAACTCAGTCAGTACCTGAAGTATGGCAGCGGCAAGGGAGGGGTGACATTGACATATTATGACGTGACAAAGCTTAAAATTTTGAAGGAGATCTGAAGCCTCTCTGACGTTTGACGTAGGGATGTTATGGATAATTATGTAGTTTCGGTCATGGATACGGTTACGGATATAGGAATAATATTATACCGGTTTCGGTTACGGATATTTTTTTGTTTCGGATATCCGAAAGTTTCGGTTACGGTTACGGATATCTGTGCTTTAGAATGCAATTTGCAATAGTTGTCCAACACGGTTCATACATGGCCGCACACTTTACATCGAATAAAAAGTAAATAAAAAATAAAAAATGGTACTAGATGGCATTATAAAGGTAAATCAGGCTGTTATGCCTTTATACAATACTTAATGCTATACAAAAAACAATTTAAACTGCCTACATCCGAAACTCTCCGAAACTTTTGAATCGGTTACGGTTTCGGGTATTTTTTTATTTCGGATATCCGAAAGTTTCGGTTACGGTTACGGATACCCATAACATCCCTGGTTTGACGTTCCAAAAACAGGGTGTCCCGCTCCCATACGTCAGGCACTGACTGAGTGAATGAATGAAGTGCCAAACAAATTAATTTTAACTCCAAAAATAGTCGTATCATCTAAGTGTGTTGACTTTTCCAATATTTGTTGAAAGTATTAACTGTAATAACATTTATTAAGGTTCGAGTCTTAACCTTGTGGAGGTGTCACGTGTGTTTTCATTATAGACTAAGAGCTAGTGAACGCCAGACCTACATCAATATCTATAAAAGCAAAAGGTCACTGACTGACTCACTCACTCATCACGAAATCTCAGAAACTACAAGTGCTAAGAGTCTCAAATTTCGCATGGGAGTTCCTTTTAGAACGTAGGCGCTCCTCACTGAGGCGGGATTTTGCAAAATCGGCCGCTTGTCATTTTATAAAAGCTGAAAGTTTGTCACCGTATGCTCCCAATATAGGTAGGTTAGAATTCTGGTCCATCAAGAACTTTGGGTCATCGTGGCTTTGGCAGCTACCCTAAAAAGATTGTCTGGCAAGGAGTTGGAACTGTCAAAACTGTCTGACTGATGAGGAAACAACTTCTAATTATTGCCCACATTGCCCACGACAACCCAAAGTTGATGATGCATCAACATTCTTACCTATATTGGGAGCATACGCTGACAAACTTTCAGTTTTTATAAAATGACGTAGGTCTAGTGTTCACTAGCTCTTAGTCTATAAGAAATGATAATATTATTAAAATTTAGTGTTACGAGACACAAATATTTGTACGTTTATTTAGATTGCCAAATTTCAGTTATTTTTACGTCGTGGTAACATTTAATTTGCAATGTGAATTGGGAAAATACCAAATTGTTGGAATATAAGTTGCATTTTTGACTACTTATTTCTAACCACTAGCTTTCTGCCTGCGCTTCGCTCACGTAGATGGAACACAATCCCTAGTTTCTCCATAATACAAACTTTGAACCCTTTCATCCCTATAAGGGGTGAATTTTGGAAAACACTTAGCGGATGCCGGAGCGATTTGAAATATGTTGGTAGATCATTTAATCGGTGACAGCTGTTGCCTTTGTAGGTAACACATAACTTTCTATTGCAGAATTAAATTACTAATACTGGTAGGCTCTTTAACCTAAACACGAGTATGCTTGTGTTACATGTGGTTTCACCACAATAGTCCAGTGACGTCGGGGTTCAAACCAGCGATCCTCGGATCACGAATCGGCCACTCCTATACCGCATCTATTGTCACCAAAATTATTGTCTTCTTTCTTTCCGTCATAAAATGCCTAAATCACATCGATATCCTTTGTAGGTGCCACCAGAAGATAAATACCTGAATGCAAAAGTATATAAAGCAGCATTGACGAAGTTGCTAAAGACCATGCTGATCGAAGATAAAATCATTTTTATAGGTGAGTTCTTTCTTGACCGGCATAGCGGAGAAGTAATTATTTCCACCAAAATGGAGCGGAGAGGAGATATTAAGTAGGTAGAGCCTTCTTTTTCTGAGCACACAAGGACTTTCGCCAAAGACACTTGAGCGAATCCACAAGCGCGAAAGATATATGTACCCTAAGCGCGAACGATATTTTTGGGATAAAGAATTCTCATTATTTTTATGGACTTATCGCTCATGACGTAATCGCTGTTCAGAGTGACGTATTTTAAATGGTATCGCCACATATCTCCTCTCCACTCTATTCAACTCTATTTATTGAAGCTGAGTGGAGACGAGAACGTAGGTAGATAACGAAATTCCATTGGTGTGCAATGTGGGGAGTGTAGGCCAAACCCTCCATTTGCCTCTGGTAAATTAGAAAGGGTGGTCCTCATGCAGTTACTTCTGGTAAATTAGAGAGGGTCATCCTCCGCTTTTGGTGGAAACCTTTGATATGGAGGGAAGTCGAACCTCAACTTCCAACTCCTCCTATGTTCTTCTGATTAATTTCGTTGCGGGTCCAATGCAGTTAAACTTGACCTTCACTGGTTGGGTTGTAGGCGGTCAAGCTGTAGATCCTGGCACAGGAATTGCAGCGGTGGGAACGAGAGGTGGGAATAGTCCCGTGTATCTACTGCATTTTGTACACGCTCTGTAAGCGATTTAGCTCTGCATGTTTAGACGACAGAACTAATAATATTTGAACGCTACAGAGAACTTTAGTTTTTCTTTCCAAAATGGAGCAAGACTTCTGCTTACCATAGCTTCTCTATCCATTATAGCTGTTCGTTTCAGCCGAAAGACGTTCACTGCTGGACAAAGGCCTCCCCCGAAGATTTCCACAAAGACCGGTCCTGCGCCGCTCGCATCCAGGCACCTCCCGCGACCCCCACCAGATCGTCGGTCCACCTAGTGGGAGGCCTGCCCACGCTACGTCTTCCGGCTCGTAGTCGCCACTCAAGAACTTTCCTGCCCCTGCGGCTATCAGCTCTACGAGCTATGTGCCCCACCCACTGCCACTTGATTTTAACGATTCTGCGGGCTATGTCAGTCCCCCTGGTTCTCCTACGGATCTCATTTCTGATTCGATCACGCAGGGAACCATTATAGCTGTATGGTTGGCAATAATTAGATACTGTATCTGGATATTTTTAGCAACATGTTCCGACCCGTTCTCGGCACAGCCGAAGCCGTTGGTGTCTCTGTTCGACGAGGTGATCCTGGTGCCTAGAACTGACTATGGAACTGTTCAGAGATTCTTCTATGAGAAACTACAAAGGTATGTAGACTAAATTTTAATAGTATACCAGCGGCCGCCCGCGATTTCGTACGCGTGGATCCCGTTTTACCCCCTTAGGGGTCGAATTTTACAAAATACCGTCTTAGTGACCACCTACGTTCTAAAAGGAACCCCTATGCAAAATTTGAGACTCTTAGCACTTGTAGTTTGCATGGGGGTTCCTTTTAGAACGTAGGTGCTCATTAAGACGGGATTTTGCAAAATTGAACCCCTGAGGGTGTAAAATGGGGTCGCTAGTCATAAATAAATGCCACCAAAAGTCTCGCAAAAACAGAAATTTATTGCTGATGTTTTATTAACACCTTTGCTGCGGCAGTAACTTTCTAATACTTTCCATTCCTTCGGTACAAGGTCAGTAAACCTGGTATTAAAACTTACATTGTGGCGGCACAAGGCTTAAAGACCTTGTAATATTTAAGATATATTAATTTTATTTTTGGCTTCATGTTAATAGATATTGTGTTTTTTTTCATTGAATATTAATAATAATGCATTTATTGACATACACCTGAAGGCGTTCGTGAATAACTTGTTTAGTATAAAAATTATAGCTATATTCAAAATACAAGGCTTATGCACCCTGTGCCGCACTGAAGTAGGGAAGTCTGGTGGGTATTCTAGGGATGTGAAATACAAATATCGATAGTTTAAATTAAGTTTTAATAAAAATTTAAAAAAGTAACAAAGATATTTTAATAATTTAGTCTAAATATTTTACAAATAAGACATACGTGCATAAATACTTAAATAAGCTATATTTAAAGAAAACATATTATTATTTAATAACATTTAGTTACAACTTCAAATGTTTGTCACGAAAAACATTATTTAAATTAGCAATAAATCGTGTAGCAAATTAAATTATAATCAATTTGCAGTTTTGATTTTGTTTGTTTCTCTTGACGCCATGTCGACATGTGCGTTTCTTACGAATGCGAGGCAACACTGGCTGCACGAAGCTAGCGTGGGGTGCGGTACCAGGTGCGCAGGGTACAAGGTGCTTCGACCTGGTTTCGCATTGTGAAGACATTTTATTACTTCCGTGCGGTACCAGGTCTAAAAACCTGGTATTAAGGTAGGTACATCATTGGATTCTATTTTAAGAATACATCATAGATATATATTCATCACTTTCCTACACCGGACCCAATTGAAGTTATGCCTTTCGCACGACAAGGAAGACTATAATTTTCTTAGCCGCACGGTAAGCGAGACGTACACAAGGTCTATAGACCTGGTTTCGCACTCAACGTGTTAAAGTTACAACTTCAAATGTTTGTCACGAAAAACATTATTTAAATTAGCAATAAATCGTGTAGCAAATTAAATTATAATCAATTTGCAGTTTTGATTTTGTTTGTTTCTCTTGACGCCATGTCGACATGTGCGTTTCTTACGAATGCGAGGCAACACTGGCTGCACGAAGCTAGCGTGGGGTGCGGTACCAGGTGCGCAGGGTACAAGGTGCTTCGACCTGGTTTCGCATTGTGAAGACATTTTATTACTTCCGTGCGGTACCAGGTCTCAAAACCTGGTATTAAGGTAGGTACATCATTGGATTCTATTTTAACCCATTAACGCCCAAATGAAAACTACGGTCAATTTCCCATAGCCAATGTTTATTTTCTTTATAAAAATACTTCAGAAATAATACTAAACACAAAGAAAACCAAAATCAAAATCAGAAGTTAGGTTTTCAGGGGTGTACTTACTAAGTTTAGTACAATGGGCGCTTATGAGTCATATTGAGTAAAGCCTTCTTCATCCTGGCACAGTGTTTTCAGGCACTTGCCATAAGCTGTTTTGACTCTATTGAAACACACAGTAATTTTAAGCTATCAAATCAGCTTGTTTGCTGGTTTATTTTGGTTATAACCATTATTTCATATTTCTTCTCCATCAACTAGAGCAAGACTACCTACTTTTATTTATCTTTTATAGGTCAAATATGTGCGTACTATATATTTGCGGAATGCTAGCTGATCTAAGCGACTATATGGGTTTACTATGCAGTGCAGTCTGCATGCATTTGAAATTGTCATTTCCACCATATAAGCGAACAAGACCCATCCACCGCTTTTTTTCCTTTTTCCTCAATTTGGTAAAGTTCTATAGACTAGTCATCTAATCTAACCCACTGATCTTCTTATTATACTAGAGCTGGACACCCTGTGGTACCTAACTCTACTTTTTTTTTATCAAGAGACCCCATATAATGACCTTTCCCAATGGTTCTAAAGCGTCAACATTTGTTTCAATGGTACCCACATTATTATCTTTCAATCAATGTTAATAAAATTACGTTTGCCTTGTCGAATCTGTCTCTAGGCTTTTTGTGAACATCTTTATAAGTAATCAAAGGATACCTTTTGGTTCTGTTTTCACGTGTGGTTCCAAAAACTATGTAACTAAGTCTCTTTAGGTCGACAAATAGGTCGTAATTGGGAAAACAAAATGTTTCTTTTTGTTGTCTGTAACCCCATAAATAAAGAGCCATGTTATTGGAAAAAGAAAACAATGATTACACATAAAAACTATGAAGAAATAAGTAAACACTCTAATAATAATGTCGTTACTGTACTATTTTACGTAACGTGTCAAGCGCCCATTGTACTAAAGTTTGTACAGCATCACTTTGGGAGTTATAGCATGAAAAACTTTCCATGAAATAAACTTTTCTATGTATTTTTTATTAGGATATGTTGTTAGCTAATACACAAACAACTTATTTGGTATTTTGTGTAACTTAAACCTTGCATAAAAAATTATCAAGTACCTACCCACTAGAAGACATGAAAAAATCACTGAAACGAAATCGCAAAATACTCCCTTAAGATTGTATAATTATGGTCTGTTTTATCTCAGGATATAATGCATAGACCTTTGTTTACCGATTGTAATTATTTCCAGGGTAAAAATACTCACTAAACCAGATTTATCGTAACTTAAACTTGTGTACTATTTATTGTACGGCGGGCGTTAATGGGTTAAGAATACATCATAGACATATATTCATCACTTTCCTACACCGGACCCAATTGAAGTTATGCCTTTCGCACGACAAGGAAGACTATAATTTTCTTAGCCGCACGGTAAGCGAGACGTACACAAGGTCTATAGACCTGTAGGCCTAAGATGCGCGCCGTGATAACTTTTATCGACGTTAAAATGTATGGACAAAATCGATAAAATGGCGTGATAACCGCTTATCGCGGCGCGCATCTTAGGCCTACTGGTTTCGCACTCAACGTGTTAAGGGCGTCCATAAAATTATGCTTGATTTCATAAGGGGGTTGTTGACAAAAGATTAGGAAGAAGCCTAGACCACAGGTGGTCTTTTGTATCGTTCTAGCATCCGAAGCATGCCTCGCGACTACTGCGTGCAGGCGTTGGCGCAGTTGATGCAAGGGTATGGATTCGGGATCATCACGGAGCTGTATGATAAGATCATGAACCCCCTTAGGATTGTCAGGTACTTGAATAACCTCTGGATTTTGTATTGACTGAATTGCATTACTTTAACCGTAAGTATAATTTTAACTGGTGCTTTTGTTTGGAGTTTGGAAGACTTTCAACGTATAGAAAGTTAGATAGTGCAACCCAGGGTAAGCCTTTAGATTCAGGTACAAAATCAATTAAATTAGCACTTTACAACGGAGAAGTATTAATAGGAGAGAGAGATAGTGAGGGAGAGAGAGAGAGAATATCAGTTAGGAAGGATCATAACGTTTGACAACAAGATTATGACCTAAACTATCAATCCCATTTATAAAATATGTCAATAAATTGAGCCCAGATTATAAAATAAATGATTTTTCTACAGGTTGCATATAACTCCGCTATCTCCAGAAGAATTCTTGGAGCCGTTGATTGAAGAGGGAATCGAACCTGTCACTATAGAGGTAAATACATCCACATAATAACACACAAAGCAATTTTATAGGTACTTCGTACGTTTCAGCCAAATGACGTCCACTGCTGGACAAAGGCCTCCCCCAAAGTTTTCCACAATAAACGGTCCTGCGCTGCCCGCATTCAGGCTCTTCCCGTGACCTTTACCTGATCGTCGGTCCACCTAGTAGGAGGCCTGCCCACGCTACGTCTTCCAGCCCGTGGTCACAAAATATAACAGAAGGTAAACTCCATACTAAGCGTGCTCGAACTACGCACACATAGACACCGCTCACGTACGCGTTATCTGGGACTGTCTCGGACGAATGCTAGCACGACTGACGTTCGCTTGAGTCACGCAGCACGCTGCTCATGCGTTTTTGAAATCATTTTGTTTGTGCGAAAATGAGAATTATAATTTATTTTTAGGATTACCAAGAATACGTTGACTTCTTCATAACTAACTCTTACTTGAAGAGAGAGAGGGAAGAGTACGACTTCATCAACAGATACAGGGAAGTGGTTTACAAGAAAATGGCGAAAGAAAAGAAGAAATAAGATTATTATTTGACAAGACATACGTCCGTATTAATTTAACTTACGAGGCGTCACATTAAGACCGATTCTTGTCGTGTAATAGCGCAGTTACACAATGCGCGAAGTTGTTCGACTCAGATAGTGTAAACACACAGTTCCAGTTCGTTTCGCCGTGTGTCGCCCATATTTCCGTACTGCTCGCGCTTGTGTCCGATCAACTTCGCACATAGTGTAACTGCTCCTTAAAGGTACAGAGACTCGCGACCTCTGGTGACTAGCGAAGTCAACTCGCAACAACGTACAATCTGTTTTCAAGCGCTTCCACTAGATGTCGCTGTGCTGACTTAGTTCACGATGTCATGTATTTTTTCCTAAATTAATAATAACTTTAATGTTTCCGACGTCAGATTGTGCCTTATAACAAGTGTTAGCGACTCGTTAGGCGTGACGTGGCGTACTGACCTCTATAACTGTAATTTTTGTAAAGGGATCCTTAAAAAAGAATTGTAAAAGGATCTCTTATAAATTATACATAAATACCTAACGCCAGCGATGACGAGGGCAAAATAAGTTCAAAATAGTCTGATACAAGAACACTTACTGAAAACTCATGCGGACTTCAGAGAACTTTCTAAAAGTATAATATTCCTTAATCTACATGAAAAACTGCCTTTTTTTATTAATATTGATAAAAATATGTTGCACATTTTTGTTTATGTCGTGTACTCGTACGTTATTTTAATTCTCTAAAGTCCGTTTTCACATCATCAATCCCTAATTTTTAAGTGACCCCTATGAAAACAAAATTCCTGTTGTGTTACCATAGGGGTCACTTAAAAATTAGGAATTGATGATGTAAAAACGGGCATAAGACGTTTGCGAATACTTACACCCGTATTCACAAACGATGCTTGCTTAAGTGAAGCAGCAAATCGAACGCACAGCGTTGAATAGAGCTTTGTGATTGGTTCGTGTGTCACGCTGTGCGTCCACGCGTACTGTGAGACCTCATAGTAATGTTTGTAAATACGGGCGTTAGTGTATTTACTGTGTGATGCGTGTAGCCCGCGTATAGAAAAAACATTGTTACTACTATTTGAAGAAGTAAAGTTTGTGTAATTCTATATTTGTTAAATTGTAAGGGATATTCTCGGGATCTACTGACGATTTTAAAAATCCTTTCACCAATAGAAAGCCACATTATTGCTGAGTTTTATAAAAAACCTGAAAAATTCCTCGCGGACGAAGCCGCGGGCAAAAGCTAGTATGAAATAAAGCATCACAGTAAAAGGCACTTTTGGTTACTATTCCACAGTTTATTAATATTTGATTATACATAATCTCTTGAGTCTTGCGACTTCTCGCTACAACGTGAAACTATTGAAAGGCCTCCGCTAGATGTCGCTGTGCGTTCTTATTTCACGCTAACATTAGATTTTTTTCAAATTAATAATAACCTTATGGTTTCTGATCTTAGACAGTGCCTTATGAATACTAATTGTACATTCTTATTGCTTATACGTTTAGATAGAGACATTTTTGCAAAGAGGTCCTTCTAGGATTATTGTAAAAGGACCTCTTATAATAATAAAAAGAAAATAACATGTGGAAATACGAATGTACACATAAACGCCCGTATTCACAAAATTACTATGAGGTTTCACAGTGCGCGTGGACGCATAGGATGACACACGAACCAATCAAAGAGCTCTATTCAATGCTGTGCGTTCGATTTGCTGCTCAAGCAAGCATTGTTTGTGAATACGTGGTGACAAAACCTGATGATGACAATTAAATAAATGTGACTTAAATACCTCATTATTTTTAGTAAAAAAAAAATACCAACCGAATTTAGAACCTCCTTTTGTTGAAGTAACCGACTTTCGACCGACGAAAAGACCAAAGTTCAGTTTTTTTCGTTAATCGAAGTGTTTTTTATTAAATAAGTTGTAATATTATATTGTGATAATGATGGTGATTTTTAGGGTTCCGTAGCCAAATGGAAAAAAACGGAACCCTTATAGATTCGTCATGTCTGTCTGTCCGTCTGTCCGTCCGTATGTCACAGCCATTTTTTTCCGAAACTATAAGAGCTATACTGTTGAAACTTGGTAAGTAGATGTATTCTGTGAACCGCATTAAGATTTTGATGCAAAAATAAAAAAAAATATAAGAAATATTGGGGGCTCCCCATACTTAGAACTGAAACTCAAAAATTTTTTTTTCATCAAACACATACGTGTGAGGTATCTATGGAGAGGTCTGACAGACGCTTTCAAAGTGGAAAAAAGTTGGTCCCCCCCCCCTCTTACTTCTAAAATAAGAAAATGAAAAATCTAAAAAAAACATATGATGTACCATTACTATAAAAACTACCAACGAAAATTGTTTTGAACGAGATCTAGTAAGTAGTTTTTTTTAATACCTCGTAAATCGTAAACCGCTTATTACCGCGTAATCTTTCTTACAAATAACTTAAATTAAAAAAAAAAATAATTTCATAAATCAATGGTACGGAACCCTTTGTGCGTGAGTCCGACACGCACTTGGCCGGTTTTTGGCTATGCTTTGTTCGAGTGAAAAGATGTTTCGGTAAAGTTAAAAATGTTGGTTTTATAGTATTTTTTAATATTACACATACACGTAACATTTAAATTGAAGTAAGTATTTTTATTTCTTTTTGTTTTAATGGTCATTTTCTTTAACGACGAATACATCACACGAAAGAATTTGTGCTACTATGGTGCCACTCAGTCACTCAGGCACGTCCACTTTGGTGCCACTTTGGTTCTACATACTTTTTTACCGCGTTGGTGCCGCTCTAGTGGCACTGGTGCAATTTTTTATTTATTTTATTTTATTAGGTATACAAAACAGGACAGTACCTCTAGCATGAACAACTTTCGTCTTCGAATTGTTTCCGTATTTGACAAAATTCGATTCTCAACCTTCGAATTAAACGATATTTTGATTGTCAAAATAAGTTTCGTGCAACCATTCTCATACAGTTCACTTTACGACACGTTCACAAGGGCGTTGTTTTAGTTTTTTAAACGACAACGATTCGAAGTCGAAAGGTTTTCGTGCTTGAGGTGCAGGTGCTAATTTGGTGTCACTTTGGTGCCACTCTGGTACCACTTTGGTGCCTCTTTGACATAGAGTTATTAACCAACAACTCTATGCTCTTTGATGCCGCGTCGGTGCCACTACTGGTAGCATTTTTTATTTGTTTTATTAGGTATACAAAGCTGTGGACAGGTGCCCTCTGGTGCCACTTTGGTGCCACTTCGGTGCCACTTAACGTCCTCACCTCTAATTTGAAGGCGCCCTAAACGTAAACGTTTACATTATGAAATACCAAGGGGTATTGTCTTCGAATGTTTCAAATAACAAGTTATTATAATCGATTCAGTCACAATCGAACTTTTGTGGGGCATTAATCATTCGCCGTGACAGTGAAATTGCGGATTAATATAAACAAAGTAGGTAAGTATTAAAATATTTGCTGCATTTTTTATGGAAACGGTCCATCATTATTGCTCTGTTTGATTTTTATTTAGATGTGTGTTTTTTTTTAGAAAAGATGATTAGTAAGTCCCGTTAGCCCCTCCTACTAAGCTAAATATGCTTGTGTCACGAGTGGGCTCACCACAATAGTCGAGCGGCGGCGGGATTCGAACCCGCGTTCCCCGGATCACGAGTCGGCCAGTCCGTCCCCTTCCCCGTTCGGCTATCGTGGCTTCTAGCCGTGTGGTTTCGTCAGAGTAGAATAGGACTCCCACTTTTCTCTAGTCGTAAAAGGTGCGGGACGAATTATGCGAGCATCAGGCCTCCCTAACCCGTCTGGCCAGCGTGGGGAGTGTAGGCCAGATCCTCCATTCGCCTCTGTTAATGAGAGGGTCGTGCTCCTGCAGTGGAGACTAAATGACCTGAATGATGATGACAACTGTTTCACTGACTAGGTACTTCCCTTTGAAATTGTGTAGCTTTTGAATCTTTAGGAAAACTGACCCACCATATAACTTTTGTAAAACTGACTTTTATCAAGCAAATACACCTCAAGCATTCTCTTTACAGAACAATGTCTATACCTATTGTGGAAAAGGACAGTGGAAATATCAATTTAGCCTTCAGAAACGACGAAGCTGAAGACGATAAAGCTGTCGATACGGGTGTTGTCAGCTGTGACAAGCATGTGTCAAAAGTGACAAGAGATGAGTCGAAACCAATTGAAGACGAAGAAAACAAAGAAGAAAGGGAGAGCGAATCGAATGAAGTAGACAAAGGTAAGTAGATAGTTGCTTTGGAATGTCTGAAAGGTTTTGGGGATATTTCTACACCAATATTATAAAGGGAACAACATGGAAATCTTTGGGGGAGGCCTATGTTCAGCAGTGGACGTCCTGTAGTTGAAATGATGATGATGATGATAAAGAAGCCATGTACCGGAAAGCGAAGCATAGGACACCCACAAGGTGGCCCGACGACCTCATAAAGGTAGCAGGTACTCAGGAAGGTGCTGGATGCAGGCTACTACTAACCGGTCATTATGGAAATCATTGGGGGAGGCCTATGTTCAGCAGTGGACGTCCTGTGGCCGAAATGATGATGAATATGATGAATGTTGTTAAATAGACTGGTAACACTATACTATTTTGTTATAATTGTCAAATATTTAACTCTCACGACAACTACTATACGATTTGACAGCCGACTCCTTGCGCTACGCGACTCTACGCCCCGCCCTCGGCTGTCGAATCGTATGAAACACCACGATGACACAACGCCACGATCACAAAACGCCACGCTGACACAATGCCACGAAGACAACGCCACGCTCACACAACGCCACGATCACATAACGCCACGCTGACATAAAGCCACGAAGACAACGCCACGCTCACACAACGCCACGAAAACACATCCCTTGTGAGTTGAATATAATTTCAGTTCATTTATTCGTTACCCAGTTAAAGAAAGAAAGAAAGAAAGAAACATTTATGGCCATGGATGGACATCACAAAAGACAAAAGAGGTAAATAAAAAAAAGCAAACAAGACAGAGGCAAGACATAAAACAGACAATAGAAGAGAAAGTAAACAGCAGTGCCACCCTGTCGCACAGCGATGCCCATCGCAATGGGACCCCACTCAGCATAAAATATGGTGTGGCCCCCGGTGAGGAAGGCCACGACGCTGGTTTTCAGTGTGCCCCATGCCGAGTGGAGTTATACCATGATCACTGCATAATTTGGGATCGTATACATTATAGGTCTAACACCTGAGTCCCTGAGGTATGGGAGCGGCACGGGAGGGGTGACATGACATTTATGACGTGACAGTGCAAGTCTGAAGCACATCTGAGTCTCACTGACGTTTGACTTGACCTTCATTGGTTAGGTTTTTATGGCGGTCAAGCTGTAGATCCTGGCTACACAGGAGTTGCAGTGGTGGGAACGAGAGGTGGGAATAGTCCCGTGACGTTTGACATCACAAAAACACCCTCCCGTGCCGCTTCCATACCTACCTCAGGCACTGACTCAATTATAGTTCTTGCAACTCATGAAGGCGAGTGAGCTTTACTTGTGTGTGTACGTGTACGTACATGCACATAACGTTAGTGTAATTTCTATCAAAACTTTGAAAAACAACTGACAGTGGCGAGCCACGCGCTCACTCGCCTTCGTGAATTGCAACAAATATAAATGTAAACTTTAACAATGTAATGTAACATTATACAGAG